TGGGAACGGCGAGGCTGATATCAAATCAACCAGATTCCCACCCGAATCACCAAAAGGTTAGAACGTTACATTTGGTGCCGCGACCGATACCAAGCCAGTTGGTCGTCACAGTACGAGACAACACGACTGACGCGACAGGCGAACGTCACGTTTGAGCAGCGACACCCGGACGGAGCAGCGAGGAGCGAACAGCTGGCGCCGCGGCGAAGACGTCACAATTGGTGCTGTTTAGGGACGTCACACCTGGTATCGTGACCGGGATAGGACCCTGGAACGGCCACGTCACAACTGGCGCCGTGGTAGATCAGGATAGAACGTCACATTTGGCGCTGCGACCGGGGGACGACGTCACAATTCCAAATCCTTAATATATTATCTTTAACATTGAACAAATAATGCTTTATTACTGGTGTTGGTGGATAATCTTCCTTGTGCAAAATTATGCAAATTATCTTGTGTTTTGTCAAAATGGTTTGAATTTTTACTAACGTACCTATGGTTATATAGTTCTTCTGTGAAAGTTTTATGGTAACCAGTTTTCTTTTTATGTGCCATGTCCTTTCAGGGCGTAGGCGATTATGGCTCTCCACCTCCTTCTATCCCTTGCAGCTCTCAGCAATTTCCTTCCCTCTGCTTCCTCCCCCAGACCATGTTCTGTTATCCACTTGCTTAAGATCGCCAGATATGTCTCGCCTTGTTTTCCCTTGTTTCGCTTTCCCTTTATCAGAGTATCAGATTCTCCATGCCCTCTTTCCTCATCATGTGTCCCAGAAACTTTAGCTACCTCTTCCTGATATTAACTATAAGCCTCCTCCTTGTTTGCAAGCTCTCATCGTTGCTCACATGTTCGGTCCATGATATCCTTAGCATCCTTCCGTAGAACCACATCACTGTCGCCTCGTGTCTCTTCTTCATCTTTGAAGAAATCGTCCAACATTCGCTCTCCTTTGTATATGTTTGTATTACTGCTTCTTTTAATATATTTGTTTCACTCAATTACTCTCTTGTGTCTTTATTTCTGGCCCTATCAAGGTCAAAACAACGGCATAAAGATTGTTGATTATTAAATTATACTTTTTATCCTTTTTGTAACGATCGAAATGTCGGTTAAAAATATTTTTTTCCTTGCGTGAGATTAGTAAAGTAAATTTTCGCGTTTTTTTTTGTTTTGTTTTTTGCAATGAAAAACGTTAATTTGAAATGTCAATATATATCTAAAAATATTCTATATCGAGCGTGCCTTCGTTCCGGTAGCGATGTTAAATTTTATTTTCGTTCTACTGAGAATTCTTGGAAGCTTCCCTTCTACCATCACCCTAGGACTTTGGCAAATATTAAATACAGAAACAGTACTGCTCTCTTTAATTATCTCTGGCAATTGAAATATCCCGGCAATTCACCTTCAATTAAATAGAATAGAATGGTAAGGTCAAAACTGTTTAATGGCAAGGGAGATAAATGCAACCTGTGTTTAGTTAAAAAAATGATTATGCACCTAGACACAGATGATTTTTTCTATTGTCAGGTTAGGTTTCAGTGCAGGGTAACGTTTAGTAATTCTTGATTTTGGATTTATTTATTTAAACGTTACTTTTAATGGATTTTGGTATTTACGGTGATGCCCTGTTTTTATTTCTTAATTAAACAGTGTATTTATTTATTTCCATCTACCGACCAGAATATTCTTGTTAGAAAAATATGTGCCCTCCGGTAGGATTCGAACCTGCTTCCCCTAGGAGACTAATATTTTTATTTCCCTAGTACTTTCCATCTTTTTTGTAACGTTCTAAATGTTGGTTAAAAATATTGTTTTTCTTGCGTCAGCTTGTTGGCAAGACATTAGTATAACACATTTTCTCGTTTTTTCTTTTTTTTTTTCAGTGACGAAGTCACAAGTCATCGTGGCCGAGCGTTTGACCGTGCTGGCCTTGTTCAAATTGCTGATCACGCTAGATATTACGTACGCTCTTCTCCAGAAACTGTAACTGTCTGATCAGCATAGTTGCAATATAGACCACTGGTGGTCCATGTGAGTGTAGAATAAACAAAAATGCGCCTGAGCAAACGTCTGCAATAGGAACTAGCTAGCCGCCCTAGTAGACAGGTGTCCTCGAATACGAGTGGCCAGCTATACATATGCATACAGTTATCTCGTGATGATTTCAAGTATACGGGGGTAATGCTTCGAGACTATGCACTGTGGCACCATTTAACGAGGCAGAAAAAGAAAAGAAAGAAAAGAAGAAAAGGAGAGGCTAAGGACCGAATCGTGGATGATAAGCAGAACACAAACACGGCTAAGAGACAATGGATAAGGGATATTTTGATAAGTAGCAAATGGTGAAAGGGTGTCATTACAATGACAGGGAAATTCTGAGTAAAAAGAAAGGGAAAGAAAGAAAGAATCAGATATGTTTTGGCGACGGCTGTGTTATCTAGGGATATGAAAACAAACTATTGGTACGGGAAGGCATCTTATTATCAACTACAGGCCGACTGGCCAAAGAAAAATTCAAATGAAAATGTTATTTCGATAAGTGACGAAAAACAGGCAACTAAAAGGACTTTGGATAGATAGGAAAAATTAATTGTATCAAAGCCACACACACGACTGTCCATTGACCGAATTCTTTCGACGGAACATCCTTGGCCTGCGATAATAAAATTATGTTATCAGAAATATGTACCGAAGGGAAATGAATGGGAATTTAGAAATGTCTTTTCGGGGCGACGTTGGCCGTGTTAAAAAGCTACCCATTCGGATAATTAGCGATAAAATACCTAACGAAAACAACGTGTAGAACAAGTTATGACCGCCATTTTTCATATTGTCCCGTTTGCGGCTAGAGAAATGATAATGGCGATTAAGAGGAAGAAAAGGAAAAGAAGGGATAATTTTTCTTAGTTAAGCAAGACATTTTTTTTCCTCAAACAAAGCCGCGGATTCGTCCACGCCCGACTAAGACATCATTGGTCAAGTGGTGATCACGTGACGCACGAAGGAGGCTGTCGCCGTCTATCCAGAGTGTAGGTATGAGAAGCTGCTACGAAGAAGTGGGGAGGGCAGTTCACGCCCTCTGAAGTATGGTGAGAAGGTGGGAGTAAGGAAAGGTTCCCAAAAATAAAAAAAAGTGGAAATTCCTGGCCAGAGAGGTGGATATGTATTTAGAATTATCGAGGAAACCCCGACGCCGACTAACCCACCCCGGCTTTGGTCGGCGTCCATATAAGCGAAGCCCCAACGAGCAGAAATCAGTTCCAGCAGTTCCTGTGAGTTCCAATTCCAATTTCAGTTTGAGTTGGAGTTTCAGCGAAGAGTCAGTCTCCAGTTGAAGCCGCCTCGCAGATAGCTGACCAAGATTCACGCAAATTCCGGACTCCTCTTCAACCCAAGAACAATTATTTTGAAGAGAGACTTAGATCCAGACCACCACAATAAGTTTTTTTTCGACTTTCGTCCAAAGACACACCGAAATACCAATTTCTTAGAGAGCAAAAAACTTGCCTAACGGAAAACGACGTGTCACAATCCATAGAACGGGTCGGGAGATAGATGCAGTCCTATGTATCGAACAACTAGACATAAAGTTTGTTACCTTTTTCTTTGATACTTTGAACTTTTTTTGAGTTTTCATTTTATTTACTTTTATGCATATTTGTGTGGTATCACCCCCGTTGAACTCGGTTTGCATTACGGCCCCAACCACTGTTTGATCTCGTCTGCCTAAGATCAAGGGTAGACAGACTGGGGATCAATGCAGTTACCTTGGTAACCAGGCGTTGGAAGCGAGTTGGGAACGACGAGGCTGATAGCAAATCTAACCAGATTCCCACCCGAATCACCAAAAGGTTAGAACGTCACATTTGTGTGCCGAACCGATACCAAGCCAGTTGGTCGTCACAAGACGAGACAACACGACTGACGCGACAGGCGGACGAAGAAGGGGGCGACGTCACAGTAAAAACATTACGCCATTGTATTGACTTTCGCATGAGCTTTTCATACACCACATCCGCCGATAGAGAGGTACCTCTTATTGAAAAATGTCCACCTTACATGCATAAACCTAGCCTTCCAAATTCTCATTTCTTCTCTACAACTTCGTTGTGATATCCTGCTGTGTTTTGTCAGCGAGAAACAACATTAATTCTTTCAGAAATCCAATTAACGTGACGATGTCGTTCTTTCCAATTGGATTAAACGATAATCCCATTTAACGTAACTTCAATCTGTCACGAGCGTTGAATTTTAAAGAAAACCATAGAAAAAAAATGGTTAAAATGGAAGTAAAAGACTCTGGCGAAATGATAAGAATCTGTGGGACGGTTAACGTTTTTGCTGTTTGTTTATTTATTTTTTGAGTCTACAGACTGGTGTGCGTTAATCCTTATAAAGAAGATAAGAACTAGAAAGGATTTGCTTCAAGGTTAAAGAAAACAACGATTTCCTCACGACAGTCGGATAGAAAAAATACAAGAAGAATTTTCGGTTTTCGAGCACAGGCAAAGTGCACGATTTTGAATAACGCTTTTCTAAGTCAAATGGTAATCGCACTCGTAAGTTTTGTGTGACACAACTATTTCTATCAACACTTTTTTTTATTTTGATTGTGTACTGCAACATGTTGAGTAATTGACCATGCTTCAATGTAATTAGCAGAAATGACCAACAAACAGAATTGATAAAGTTTGCAATAAACGATAACAAGAGAAATAATAGTAAAGAACAGGGCAAAAATAATATTAAGCAAACAAACATACGCAAGGCAAAGCAACAGTAATAAGGCAAAAAGTTCACTAAGAATGGTGTTAACGCACAAAACGGGATACAGTATTCTGGCTTTAAGACAACAAAAAAGCAGAACTTAAATTAAAAGAGACCGATTAGTGGCTTATCTTATTGGCTAGGAAGAATTCCCAGTATGCACCTGTTCGGTTTTACCTATAAATTTGTGGAAGGGGGTCGTATTTTGTAGATACTGCCATAAATTCGAACCAACATAATAAGTTAATGAAGAAAGGGGGTTTAAATTAGGTGAAAAGAAAAGGAAAACCCGAATGAAAAACCTACAAAGAGAGAAAGAAAGACAGGCAAATTGAGGGAGAGACTGGCAAAAAGAATTCACACGTCGAATCAGATGCTGTGATATTAATAAAGGAAAAAGGAATTAAAATGAATAACTCCTAGCTTATGCAACTATACTTTAGATTTTTAAGAATGGATTCAATAAAGGTTGATGATGTCATATAACGTTTTTGACGTGCGTTTACAGTTGGTAATATGATTATTAGTAGGCACTCGAAGTACTTTCAACGTAAAGAATTGTGTTTTTTTTTTTAAATTAAGGTGGCATTAGTAAAATCGAAGTTATAGCCAGTTTTGTTCCGCTGTATTACGATAGAGTTTGAATGGTTGTCTAAACGTATATTTCTTTTGTGTTCGTCGATTCTTTTAGATTTCATGATGTCTCTCCGATATAAATTCTTTTACATTGTAAAGGTGTTTAATTAATAAGTACTGGTATCTGAATTGGTGTTGGATTTATTTATCTTTCAAATTATATCTTCGATTGTTTCGTGGTGGTAAAGACCTATTATTAGGGATAACTAATATATAAGTTTTGTAGGAAGACTGTTAGAGGGTAGGGGTATACATGTTGTGCTCTTATTGTTGTAGGTTGTTAGAAGTGCCGTTGGTGGTGTCTAGTTTTTGGGATTTGTGGATTTTGTAAGCTCCTTTTCTAGCGCTGAGGATGAAATGATGTGGGTCGTGAAGAAGTCTAAATGTTTTCTCAATGTATTTCTCGTATTGTGTAACTACATTGGCGGTAAGGTCCCATCATTTTACAGTTGAAATGGTTAGATGTAACCGTAAGTTCTATGCTAACAGTTTCTTCTATGGCACTTTTCGCTTGTGGAACTCTCTTCCGGCTACACGCTTCCCAGTCAATTTTGATCTTTAAAATTCAAATAAATTATCAATCGTAATCTTCTGTCTTCCTAATTCTTGTTCTTTACTTATTCTCTCTCGTTAATAGGGTTTTTCTCATATTCCCTAACACTCAATAACCTCCTTGCATCTTAGATGATTTATTGCCTTGTTTGTAATGAAATGACTTTTAAAAAATTAATTTCCAGCATAACCGTTTTTGTGTATGCACTTCAATGTTCGTTTCTCCAATATAATTTCAAATCAAAATTAAGCCAATAATTAGGCTACAAATTTATTGATCTATTATAGTCGTTCATGTGAGTACTTGGGTGTATGATATAGTAATGGTAATTGTAATGACAGGCTAAAAAACTAAATGCAACAGAAATGTGGTTCTGCAGGGCGATACTAAGAATTCCATGGAAGGAGCATGCATGAAACGTGGAAGTGTTAAAAAAAATGGCAACAGAAAGAACACTTCAGGAAAAGACAGCCGGAATTCCTTGGGCAAAATGTGGAAGGAGAGTTTGGAAAACTTAAATCTCATGGGGGATATTAAGAGCAAGAGAGAGTCGGAAGGCAGCGTGCTACTTATCTGATAAGCTTGAGCGAATGGATGGCAAAACTTGGGGAGGGAGATTTAGCGAAAGGAGTAAAAATGCTAAGAGGCATACGAGATAGGAAGTTGTGGAGAGATATGATCGCCTATAACCTGAATGCCCTCTGTTATGACAGATGAAATTTGGGATTAGTTTAATTTTGACACTTTTTTAGAAACGTTATAAAAATGAGGATGTTTTTTTTTTTCCTTGATCATTTCAATCCAAACAAAATGCAAGAGCTTACTGGAAGTGAAGAGAAAGGACAATAAAAGAAAAGGTTTCAGACAAGCTGAAAATGGTCACTGGTGTTGCTTTTAAATTTATGAAAATCGTAGTTGACCGCAAAAGAAGAAACCTTAAGAGAATTCTACTGACGTGAAGCGAGAAAGAAGGAACCTTAAGAGAATTCTACTGACGAGAAGCGGGAAAGAAGAAACCTTAAGAGAATTCTACTGACGAGAAGCGGGAAAGAACAAACCTTAAGAGAATTCTATCGACGAGAAGCGGGAAAGAAGAAACCTTAAGAGAATTCTACTGACGAGAAGCGAGAAAGAAGAAACCTTAAGAGAATTCTACTGACGAGAAAGAAGAAAAAGAAACCTTCTACTGAAGAGAATTCCGACTGACGAAGCGGAAAGAAAAACCTCTATCGACGAGAAGCGGAAAAGGAGAAACCTAAGAGAATTCTACTGACGAGAAGGGAAAGAAGAAACGAGAATTCTACTGACGAGAAGCGGAAAGAAAAACTTAAGAGAATTCTACTGACGAGAAGCGGGAAAGAAGAAACCTTAAGAGAATTCTACTGACGAGAAGAAACGGAGAAGAAAGAAAAACCTTAAGAGAATTCTATCGACGAGAAGGGAAAGAAGAAACCTTAAGAGAATTCTACTGACGAGAAGCGGAAAGAAGAAACCTTAAGAGAATTCTACTGACGAGAAGCGGGAAAGAAGAAAAACCTTAAAGAATTCTATCGACGAGAAGGGGAAAGAAGAAACCTTAAGAGAATTCTACTGACGAGAAGCGGGAAGAAGAAACCTAAGAGAATTCTACTGACGAAAGCGGGAAAGAAGAAACTTAAGAGAATTCTATGACGAGAAGCGGAAAAGAACAAAACCCAAAGAGAATTCTATCGACGAGAAGCGGGAAAGAAGAAACCTTAAGAGAATTCTACTGAAGCGAGAAGCGGGAAAGAAGAAAAGAAGAAACCTTAAGAGAATTCTACTGACGAGAAGAAAGAAAACCCCTACGAGAAAGGGAAAAGAAGAAACCTAAGAGAATTCTACTGACGAGAAGCGGGAAAGAAGAAACCTTAAGAGAATTATCTACTGACGAGAAGGGAAAGAAGAAACCTTAAGAGAATTCTATCGACGAGAAGCGGGAAAGAAGAAACCTTAAGAGAATTCTATCGACGAGAAGAAGGGAAAAGAAGAAACCTTAAGAGAATTCTACTGACGAGAAGCGGGAAAGAAGAAACCTTAAAGAGAATTCTATCGACGAGAAGAAAAGAAGAAACCCTAAGAGAATTCTACTGACGAGAAGGGAAAAGAACAAACCTAAGAGAATTCTACTGACGAGAAGCGGGAAAGAAGAAAACTTAAGAGAATTCTACTGACGAGAAGCGGAAGAAGAAAACCCAAGAGAATTGACGAGAAGAAACCTTAAGAGAATTCACTGACGAAAGCGGGAAGAAGAAAAACCTTAAGAGAATTCTATCGACGAGAAGCGGGAAAGAAGAAACCTTAAGAGAATTCTACTGACGAGAAGCGGAAAGAAAAACCTTAAGAGAATTCTATCGACGAGAAGAAAGAAGAAAACTTAAGAGAATTCTAGACGAGAAGCGGGAAAGAAGAAACCCTAAGAAACCCACTGACCGACGAAAGAAAACCTTAAGGAAAGAAGAAAAGAAGAAACTTAAGAGAATTCTTACTGACGAGAAGCGGGAAGAAGAAACCTAAGAGAATTCTATCGACGAGAAGGGGAAAGAAGAAACCCAAGAGAATTCTATCGACGAGAAGGGAAAGAACCCTTAAGAGAATTCTACTTGACGAGAAGCGGGAAAGAAGAAACCTTAAGAGAATCTACTGACGAGAAGGGAAAGAAGAAACCTTAAGAGAATTCTATCGACGAGAAGGGGAAAGAAAAACCTTAAGAGAATTCTACCGACGAGAAGGGAAAGAAGAAACCTTAAGAGAATTCTACTGACGAGAAGCGGAAAGAAGAAACCTTAAGAGAATTCTATCGACGAGAAGCGGAAAGAAATAACCCGAAGAGAATTCTATCGACGAGAAGAATTCTATCGACGAGAAGCGGAAAAGAAGAAACCTTAAGAGAATTCTACTGACGAGAAAAGCGGGAAAGAAGAAACCTTAAGAGAATTCTACTGACGAGAAGGGGAAAAGAACAAAACCTAAGAGAATTCTATCGACGAGAAGCGGGAAAAGAAGAAAACCTTAAGAGAATTCTACTGACGAGAAGCGGGAAAGAAGAAACCTTAAGAGAATTCTATCGACGAGAAGCGGGAAAGAAAGAAACCTTAAGAGAATTCTACGACGAGAAGGAAAAAGAAGAAACCTAAGAGAATTTTACCGACGAGAAGCGGGAAAGAAGAAACCTTAAGAGAATTCTACTGACGAGAAGCGGAAAGAAGAAACCTAAGAAATTCTATCGACGAGAAGCGGGAAGAAAGAAACTTAAGAGAATTCTACTGACGAGAAGCGGAAAGAAGAAACCTTAAGAGAATTCTACTGACGAGAAGCGGGAAAGAAGAAACCTTAAGAGAATTCTACTGACGACGGGAAGGAAAGAAACCAGCAGAGAATTCTATCGACGAGAAGCGGAAAAGAAGAAACCTGAAGAAATTCTACTGACGAGAAGGGAAAGAAACAAACCTGGAGAAGAAACCTTAAGAGAATTCTACTGACGAGAAGCGGAAAAGAAGAAACCTTAAGAGAATTCTACTGACGAGAAGCGGAAAGAAGAAACAAAATTCTTAAGAAGCGGGAAAGAAGAAACCCAGAGAATTCTATCGACGAAAGCGGGAAAGAAGAAACCTTAAGAGAATTCTACTGACGAGAAGCGGGAAAGAAGAAACCTAAGAGAATTCTATCGACGAGAGAAGGGAAAGAAGAAACCTAAGAGAATTCTACTGACGAGAAGCGGGAAAGAAGAAACATTAAGAGAATTCTACTGACGAGAAGCGGGAAAGAAGAAACCTTAAGAGAATACTACGAGAAGCGAAAGAAGGAAAAACAACGAAACCTTAAGAGAATTCTACTGACGAGAAGCGGGAAGAACAAACCTTAAGAGAATTCTATCGACGAGAAGGGGAAAGAAGAAGAAAGAATCTTAAGAGAAGAAACTACGAGAAGGGAAAGAAGAAACCCTAAGAGAATTCTACTCGACGAGAAGCGGAAAGAAGAAACCTTAAGAGAATTCTACTGACGAGAAGGGAAAGAACAAACCTAAGAGAATTCTATCGACGAGAAGCGGAAAGAACAAACCTTAAGAGAATTCTACTGACGAGAAGCGGAAAGAAGAAACCTTAAGAGAATTCTATCGACGAGAAGCGGAAAAGAAGAAACCTTAAGAGAATTCTACTGACGAGAAGCGGGAAGAAACCCCAGAAGAAGAAAGAAGAAACCTTAGAGAATTCGTACTGACGAGAAGGGGAAAGAAGAAACCTTAAGAGAATTCTACTGACGAGAAGCGGAAAGAAGAAAACTTAAGAGAATTCTATCGACGAGAAGCGGGAAAGAAGAAACCTTAAGAGAATTCTACTGACGAGAAGCGGAAAGAAGAAACCTTAAGAGAATTCTACGACGAGAAGCGGGAAAGAAGAAAGAAGAAAAGCGGAAAGAAGGAACCTTAAGAGAATTCTACTGACGAAAGCGGAAAGAAGAAACATTAAGAGAATTCTATCGACGAGAAGCGGGAAAAGAAGAAAACCTTAAGAGAATTGTAGGTACTGACGAGAAGCGGGAAAGAAGAAACTTAAGAGAATTCTACTGACGAGAAGCGGGAAAGAAGAAACCTTAAGAGAATACTACTGACGAGAAGCGGGAAAGAACAAACCTTAAGAGAATTCCCATCGACGAGAAGCGGGAAAGAAAGAAACCTTAAGAGAATTCTACTGACGAGAAGCGGAAAGAACAAACCTTAAGAGATTCTATCGACGAGAAGGGGAAAGAAGAAACCTTAAGAGAATTCTACTGACGAGAAGCGGGAAAGAAGAAACTTTAAGAGAATTCTATCGACGAGAAGCGGGAAAAAGAAGAAACCTTAAGAGAATTCTACTGACGAGAAGCGGGAAAGAAAAAAGCAAAAGAGAATTCTATCGACGAGAAGCGGGAAAAGAAACCTTAAGAGAATTCTACTGACGAGAAGCGGAAAAAAAGAAACCTTAAGAGAATTCTATCGACGAGAAGCGGAAAGAAGAAACCTTAAGAGAATTCTACTGACGAGAAGGGGAAAAGAAACCTTAAAGAGAATTCTATCGACGAGAAGCGGAAAGAAGAAACCTTAAGAAAATTCTATACTGACGAGAAGGGAAAGAAGAAACCCAAGAGAATTCTACTGACGAGAAGCGGGAAAGAAGAAACCTTAAGAGAATTCTATCGACGAGAAGCGGGAAAGAAGAAACCTTAAGAGAATTCTACTGACGAGAAGCGGGAAAGAAGAAACCTTAAGAGAATTCTACTGACGAGAAGCGGGAAAGAAGAAACCTTAAGAGAATTCTACTGACGAGAAGCGGGAAAGAAGAAACCTTAAGAGAATTCTACTGACGAGAAGGGAAAAGAAGAAACCTTAAAGGAAAGAAGAAACCTTAAGAGAATATCGACGAGAAGCGGAAAGAACAAACCTTAAGAGAATTCTATCGACGAGAAGCGGAAAGAAGAAAACCTTAAGAGAATTCTACTGACGAGAAGGGAAAAGAAGAAACCTTAAGAGAATTATCGACGAGAAGGGAAAGAAGAAACCTTAAGAGAATTCTACTGACGAGAAGCGGAAAGAAGAAACCTTAAGAGAATTCTATCGACGAAGCGGGAAAGAAGAAACCTTAAGAGAATTTCTATCGAAGGGGAAAGAAGAAACCTTAAGAGAATTCTACTGACGAGAAGGGGAAAGAAGAAACCCTAAGAGAATACTACTGAAAGAAGAAACCTTAAGAGAATTCTACTGACGAGAATCACCGACGGGAAAGAAGAAACCTTAAGAGAATTCTACTGACGAGAAGCGGAAAGAAGAACCTTAAGAGAATTCTACTGACGAGAAGGGAAAGAACAAACCTTAAGAGAATTCTACTGACGAGAAGGGAAAGAAGAAACCTAAGAGAATTCTAGAATCGACGAGAAGCGGGAAAGAAGAAACCTTAAGAGAATTTCTACTGACGAGAAGCGGGAAAGAAGAAACCTTAAGAGAATTCTATCGACGAGAAGCGGGAAAGAAGAAACTTAAGAGAATTCTACTGACGAGAAGGGAAAGAAAAAACCTTAAGAGAATTCTATGACGAGAAGCGGGAAAGAAGAAACCTTAAGAGGATTCTACTGACGAGAAGGAAAGAAGAAACCTTACTGACGAGAAGGGAAAGAAGAAACCTTGGAGAATTCTAATGATGAGAAGGGAAGAAGAAACCTAAGAATCTACTGAAGACCAAGAAGAAACCTTAAGGAAAATGAAAGAAAAGAACCTTAAGAGAATTCTATCGACGAGAAGCGGGAAAAGAAGAAACCTTAAGAGAATTCTACTGACGAGAAGCGGAAAGAAAAAACTTAAGAGAATTCTACTGACGAAAAGCGGGAAAGAAGAACCTAAAGAGAATATCTTCATCGACGAGAAGGGAAAGAAGAAAACCTTAAGAGAATTTCTACTGACGAGAAGCGGTAAGAACAAAACCTAATAGAATCTCTATCGACGAGAAGGAAAGAAGAAACCCTAAGAGAATACTATCGACGAGAAGCGGGAAAGAAGAAGAAAACCTTAAAGAGAATTCTACTGACGAGAAAGCGGGAAAGAAGAAACCTTAAGAGAATTCCTACTGACGAAGCGGAAAGAAGAAACCTTAAGAGAATTCTACTGACGAGAAGCGGGAAAGAAGAAACCTAAGAGAATTCTACTGATGAGAAGCGGGAAAGAAGAAAACCTAAAGAGAATTCTATCGACGAGAAGCGGAAAGAAGAAACCTAAATGAATTCTACTGATGAGAAGCGAAAGAAGAAAACCTTAAGAGAATCTTATCGACGAGAAGTGGGAAAGAAGAAACCTTAAGAGAATTTATCGACGAGAAGGGGAAAAGAATAAACCTTAAGAGAATCTCTACTGACGAGACGAGAAGAAACCTTAAGAGAAAGAAACAAAAGAACCCAAAAGAATTCTACTGACGAGAAGCGAAGAAGAAAGAAGAAACCTTAAGAGAATCGACGAAAACGGAAAGAACAACCTTAAGAGAATTCTACTCGACGAGAAGCGGAAAGAAGAAACCTTAAGAGAATTCTACTCGACGAGAGAATTCGGGACGAGAAGAAGAAACCTTAAGAGAATTCTATCGACGAGAAGCGGGAAAAGAAGAAACCTAAGAGAATTCTACTCGACGAGAAGGGGAAGAAGAAACCTAAGAGAATTCTATCGACGAGAAGCGGGAAAGAAGAAACCTAAGAATTTTACGAGAAAGCGGGAAAGAATAACCCTGAATACGACTGACGAGAAGGGAAAGAACAAACCTTAAGAGAATTCTATCGACGAGAAGCGGGAAGAAGAAAGCAAGAGAATTCTACTGACGAGAAGGGAAAGAAGAAACATTAAGAGAATTCTACTGACGAGAAGGGAAAGAAGAAACCTTAAGAGAATTCTACTGACGAGAAGCGGGAAAAGAAGAAACCCATGAAGAATTCTATCGACGAGAAGCGGGAAGAAGAGAATTCCTACTGAAGAAGGGAAAGAACAAACCTTCTACTGAGGAGAAGGGAAAGAAGAAAACCTGAGAATTCTATCGACGAGAGGCGGGAAAGAAGAAACCTTAAGAGAATTCTACTGACGAGAAGGGAAAGAAGAAAAAGAGGACACGAGAAGGGAAAAGAAGAAAACAAGAGAATTCTATCGACGAATAGGGGAAAGAAGAAACCTTAAGAGAATTCTACTGACGAGAAGCGGAAAAGAAGAAACCTTAAGAGAATTCTATCGGACGGGAAAGAAGAAAGAGAATCTCACTGACGAGAAAAGATGAAACCCTAAGAGAATTCTACTGACGAAGCGGAAAAAAGAAACCTTTAGAGAATTCTATCGACGAAGCGGAAAAGAAAGAAACCTTAAGAAAATTCTACTGACGAGAAGGGAAATAAGAAACCTTAAGAGAATTCTACTGACGAGAAGGGAAAGAAGAAACCTTAGAGAATTCTATCGACGAGAAAGGGAAAGATGAAACCTTAAGAGAATTCTATCGACGACGAAGCAGGAAAGAAGAAACCTTAAGAGAATATACTGAGAAGCGGGAAAGAATAAACCTTAAGAAATTCTACTGACGAGAAGCGGGAAGAAGAAACTAAGAGAATTATCGACGATAAGCGGAAAGAAGAAAACCTTAAGAGAATTCTATCGACGAGAAGCGGGAAAGAAGAAACCTTAAGAGAATACTACTGACGAGAAGGGAAAGAAGAACCTTAAGAGAATTCTACTGACGAGAAGCGGGAAAGAAGAAACCCAAGAGAATTCTACTGACGAGAAGGGAAAGAACAAACCTTAAGAGAATTCCGACGAGAAGGAACAAACCAAGAAAGAAGAAACCCTTAAGAGAATTCTACTGACGAGAAGGGAAAGAAGAAAAACCTAAGAGAATTCTACCGACGAGAAGCGGGAAAGAAGAAACCTTAAGAGAATTCTATCGACGAGAAGCGGGAAAGAAGAAACCTTAAGAGAATTCTACTGACGAGAAGGAAAAAGAAGAAACCTTTAAGAGAATTCTATCGACGAGAAGCGGGAAAGAAGAAACCTTTTTAGAATTCTATCGACGAGAAGAAGAAACCTTAAGAGAATTCTACTGACGAGAAGCGGAAAGAACAAACCTTAAGAGAATTCTATCGACGAGAAGGGGAAAGAAGAAACCTTAAGAGAATTCTACTGACGAGAAGCGGGAAAGAAGAAACCCTAAGAGAATTCTATCGACGAGAAGGGAAAGAAGAAAACCCTTAAGAAAGAATTCTACTGACGAGAAGCGGGAAAGAAGAAACCTTAAGAGAATTCTTACGAGAAGAAAGAAGAAACCTTAAATACGAATAAGAGAATTCCACTGACGAGAAGCGGGAAAGAACAAACCTTAAGAGAATTCTATCGACGAGAAGGGAAAAAGAAGAAACCTTAAGAGAATTCTACTGACGAGAAGCGGAAAGAAGAAACCTTAAGAGAATTTACTGACGAGAAGGGGAAAGAAGAAACCTTAAGAGAATACTACTGACGAGAAGCGGAAAGAAGAAACCTAAGAGAATTCTATCGACGAGAAGCGGGAAAGAACAAACCCTTAAGAGAATTCTACTGACGAGAAGCGGGAAAGAAGAAACCTTAAGAGAATTCTACTGACGAGAAGCGGAAAGAAGAAACCTTAAGAAATTCTATCGACGAAGAAAGAAGAAACCTTAAGAGAATTCTATCGACGAGAAGGGGAAAGAAGAAACCCAAGAGAATTCTACTGACGAGAAGCGGGAAAGAAGAAACCTTAAGAGAATTCTATCGACGAGAAGCGGACGAAAGAAAGAAACCTTAAGAGAATTCTACTGACGAGAAGCGGAAAGAAGAAACCTTAAGAGAATACTACGAAGAAACCCAGCAGGGAAAAAAGAACAAACCTTAAGAGAATTCTATCGACGAGAAGAAAGAAGAAACCTACTGAAGAGAATTCTACTGACGAGAAGCGGAAAGAAGAAACCTTAAGAGAATTCTACTGACGAGAAGCGGGAAAGAAGAAACCTTAAGAGAATTCTATCGACGAGAAGGGAGAAGAAAACCTTAAGGAATTATCGAAAAGAAAGAAAACCTTAAGAGAATTCTACTGACGAGAAGCGGGAAAGAAGAAACCTTAAGAGAATTCTACTGACGAGAAGCGGGAAAGAAGAAACCTTAAGAGAATTCTATCGACGAGAAGCGGGAAAGAAGAAACCTTAAGAGAATTCTACTGACGAGAAGCGGGAAAGAAGAAACCTTAAGAGAATTCTATCGACGAGAAGCGGGAAAGAACAAACCTTAAGAGAATTCTATCGACGAGAAGCGGGAAAGAAGAAACCTTAAGAGAATTCTAAGAGAAGACGGAAGAAAGAAGAAAACTTAAGAGAATTCCTATCGACGAGAAGCGGGAAAGAAGAAACCTTAAGAGAATTCTACTGACGAGAAGCGGAAAGAAGAAACCTTAAGAGAATTCTACTGACGAGAAGCGGGAAAGAAGAAACCTTAAGAGAATTTACTGACGGGAGAAAGAAACCTTAAGAGAATTCCCATCGACGAAAAAGAAGAAACCTAAGAGAATTTTACTGACGAGAAGCGGGAAAGAAGAAACCTTAAGAGAATTCTACTGACGAGAAGGGGAAAGAAGAAACCCTTAAGAGAATTCCTACTGACGAGAAGCGGGAAAGAAGAAAACCTTAAGAGAAAGCGGGAAAGAAAAGAAGAAAAAAAAGAAGAACCTTAAGAGAATTCCTACTGACGAGAAGCGGGAAAAGAAAAGAAAAACCTTAAGAGAATTCCTACTGACGAGAAGGGAAAGAAGAAACCTTAAGAGAATTCTATCGACGAGAAGGGAAAGAAGAAACCTTACTGACGAGAAGCGGGAAAGAAGAAACCTTAAGAGAATTCTACTGACGGGAAGGGAAAGAAGAAACCTTAAGAGAATTCTACTGACGAGAAGCGGGAAAGAAGAAACCTTAAGAGAATTCTATCGACGAGAAGGGAAAGAAGAAACCTTAGAGAATTCTACTGACGAGAAGCGGAAAAGAAGAAACCTTAAGAGAATTCTACTGACGAGAAGCGGGAAAGAAGAAACCTTTTAAGAGAATACGACCGACGAGAAGGGGAAAGAAGAAACCTTAAGAGAATTCTATCGACGAAAGAAAGAAGAAACTTAAGAGAATTCTGACGACTGACGAGAAGGGGAAAGAAGAAACCTTAAGAGAATTCTACTGACGAGAAGCGGAAAGAAGAAACCTTAAGAGAATTCTACTGACGAGAAGTGGGAAAGAAGAAACCTTAAGAGATTCTATCGACGAGAAGAAAGAAGAAACCTAAGAGAATCGACGAGAAGCGGGAAAGAAGAAACCTTAAGAGAATTTCTACTGACGAGAAGGGGAAAGAAGAAACCTAAGAGAATTCCCACTGACGAGAAGGGGAAAGAAGAAACCTTAAGAGAATTCCTACTGACGAGAGAAGCGGGAAAGAAGAAACCTTAAGAGAATTCCTATCGACGAGAAGCGGGAAAGAAGAAACCTTAAGGAAAGAAGAAAAACCAAGAGAATTCTATCGACGAGAAGAAAGAAAAACCTTAAGAGAATTTATCGACGAGAAGCGGGAAGAAAGAAGAAACCTTAAAGAATTCTACTGACGAGAAGCGGGAAAGAAGAAACCTTAAGAGAATTCTATCGACGAGAAGCGGGAAAGAAGAAACCCAAGAGAATTCTACTGACGAGAAGAAAGAAGAAACCTTAAGAGAATTCTATCGACGAGAATTTTAAGAGAATTTGACGAGAAGCGGGAAAGAAGAAACCTAAGAGAATTACTAAGCGGAAAGAACAAACCTAAGAGAATGACGAGAAATTAAGAGAATTCTACTGACGGAAGAAAGAAGAAACCTTAAGAGAATTCTATCGACGAGAAGCGGGAAAGAAGAAACCTTAAGAGAATTCTACTGACGAGAAGAAGAAACCTGGGAAAAGAAGAAACCCTTAAGAGAATTCCCATCGACGAGAAGGGGAAAGAAGAAACCTTTAAGAGAATTCTATCGACGAGAAGCGGAAAGAAGAAACCTTAAGAGAATTCTACTGACGAGAAGGGAAAAGAAGAAACCTTAAGAGAATTCTATCGACGAGAAGCGGGAAAGAAGAAACCTTAAAAGAATACTCTACAGAAAGAAGAAAACCTTAAGGAAAAGAAGAAAGAAGGGAAAACCTTAAGAGAATTCCTACCGACGAGAAGCGGAAGAAACCTTAAGAGAATTCCTATCGACGAGAAGCGGGAAAGAAGAAACCTTAAGAGAATTTACTGACGAGAAGCGGGAAAGAAGAAACCCAAGAGAATTCTATCGAGAAGCGGAAGAAGAAACCCAGAAATGAAGAAACCTTAAAAAGAGAATTCTATCGACGAGAAGGGAAAGAAGAAACCTATAAGAGGGAAAGAATAAACCTTAAGAGAATTCTACTGACGAGAAGCGGGAAAGAAGAAACCTTAAGAGAATTCTATCGACGAGAAGCGGAAAGAAGAAACCTTAAAGAACAATTTCTACTGACGAGAAGGAAAGAAGAAACCTTAAGAAAATCTACTGACGAGAAGGGAAAGAAGAAACCTTAAGAGAATTCTATCGACGAGAAGCGGGAAAGAAGAAAACCCTAAGAGAATTCTATCGACGAGAAGCGAAAGAAGAAACCTTAAGAATTCTATCGGAGAAGCGGGAAAGAAGAAACCTTTTAAGAGAATCTTCTACTGACGAGAAGCGGGAAAAGAAGAAACTACTAAGAGAATTCAACACGAGAAGGGAAAGAAGAAACCCTAAGAGAATTTATCGACGAGAAGAAGAAAACGGGAAAGAAGAAACCTTAAGAGAATTCTACCGACGAGAAGCGGGAAAGAAGAAACCTTAAGAGAATTCTATCGACGAGAAGCGGGAAAGAAGAAAACCTTTAGAGAATTCTTACTGACGAGAAAGAAGAAATCCGAGAAGCGGAAAGAGAATTCTACGACGAGAAGGGAAAGAAGAAACCTTTAAGAGAATCCCTACTGACGAGAAGCGGGAAAGAAGAAACCTTAAGAGAATTCTACTGACGAAGAAAAGAAGAAACCTTAAGAGAATTCTACTGAAGAAGAAACCCAGGAAGAAAACCTTTAAGAGAATTCTACTGACGAGAAGCGGGAAAGAAGAAACCTTAGAGAATTCTATCGACGAGAAGCGGAAAGAAGAAACCCAAGAGAATACTACTGACGAGAAGTGAAAGAAGAAACCTTGGAGAAACGAGAAGCGAAAGAAGAAACCCTAAAGAATCCTTAAGAGAATTCTATCGACGAGAAGCGGGAAAGAAGAAACCTAAGAGAATTCTATCGACGAGAAGCGGGAAAGAAGAAACCTTAAGAGAATTCTACTGACGAGAAGCGGGAAAGAACAAAATACCTTTTAAGAGAATTCTATCGACGAGAAGCGGGAAAGAAGAAACCCAAGAGAATTCTATCGACGAGAAGCGGGAAAGAAGAAACCTTAAGAGAATTCTTCATCGACGAGAAGGGAAAGAAGAAACCTTTGAATTCTATCGACGAGAAGGGGAAAGAAGAAACCTTAAGAGAGACGAGAAGCGGAAAAGAAGAAACCGAGAAGAAAGAAGAAACCTTAGAAATCTATCGACGAGAAGCGGGAAAGAAGAAACCTTAAGAGAATTCCTACTGACGAGAAGCGGGAAAGAAGAAAAAACCTTAAGAGAATTCTATCGACGAGAAGCGAAGAAGAAACCTTAAGAGAATTTCACGACGAAAGAAAAAGAAACCCTTAAGAGAATTTCTATCGACGAGAAGGGAGAAGAAACCTTAAGAGAATTCTATCGACGAGAAGCGGGAAAGAAGAAACCTAAGAGAATTTACTGACGAGAAGCGGGAAAGAACAAACCTATCGAAGAGAATTCTACTGACGAGAGAAGAAACCTTTAAGAGAAAGACGAGAAGTGGGAAAGAAGAACAAAACCTTACGAGAGAAAGAAGAACTAGAATTACTGACGAGAAGCGGGAAAGAAGAAACCTAAGAGAATTTACCGACGAGAAGGGGAAAAGAAGAAACCTAAGAGAACTATCGACGAGAAGCGGAAAGAACAAAACCTAAGAGAATTCCTATCGACGAGAAGCGGAAAGAAGAAACCTTAAGAGAATTCTACTGACTAAAGGGAAAGAACAAACCTAAGAGAATTTATCTGACGAGAAGCGGGAAAGAAGAAACCTTAAGAGAATTCTACTGACGAGAAGCGGAAAGAAGAAACCTTAAGAGAATTCTACTGACGAGAAGCGGGAAAGAAGAAACCTTAAGAGAATTCCCAGACGAGAAGGGGAAAGAAGAAACCTTAAGAGAATTCCCATCGACGAGAAAGAAAGAAGAAACCTTTAGAGAATTCCCCACCGACGAGAAGCGGGAAAGAAGAAACCCAAGAGAATTCTCTACTGACGAGAAGGGAAAGAAGAAACCTTAAGAGAATTCTATCGACGAGAAGCGGAAAAGAAGAAACCTTAAGAGAATACTATGACGAGAAGGGAAAAAAGAAAACCTTAAGAGAATTCTATCGACGAGAAGCGGGAAAGAAGAAACCTTAAGAGAATTCTACGAGACGAGAAGGGAAAGAAATAAAGAAGAAACCTTAAGAGAATTCTATCGACGAGAAGCGGAAAGAGAAGAAACCTTAAGAGAATTCTAACTACTAATTTGAGAAGCGGAAAAGAAGAAAACCTTAAGAGAATTCCTACTGACGAGAAGGGGAAAGAACAAAACCTTAAGAAATTCTATCGACGAGAAGAAAAAGAAGAAACCTTTAAGAGAATTCTATCGACGAGAAGCGGGAAAAGAAAAACCTTAAGAGAATTCTACTGACGAGAAGCGGGAAAGAAGAAACCTTAAGAGAATTCTATCGACGAGAAGCACGAGAAGCGGGAAAGAAGAAACCTTAAGAGAATTCTATCGACGAGAAGCGGGAAAGAAGAAAACCTTTAAGAGAATTCTACTCGACGAGAAGGGAAAGAAGAAACCTTAAGAGAATTCTATCGACGAGAAGCGGGAAAGAAGAAACCTTAAGAGAATTCTACTGACGAGAAGCGGGAAAGAACAAACCTTAAGAGAATTCTACTGACGAGAAGCGGGAAAAGAAGAAACCTTAAGAGAATTTTATCGACGAGAAGGGAAAGAAGAAACCTTAAGAGAATTCTACCGACGAGAAGCGGGAAAGAAGAAACCTTAAGAGAATTCTACTGACGAGAAGCGGGAAAGAAGAAACCTTAAGAGAATTCTACCGACGAGAAGCGGGAAAGAAGAAACCTTAAGAGAATTCTACTGACGAGAAGCGGGAAAGAAGAAACCTAAGAGAATTTGTATCGATTTAGAAGCGGGAAAGAAGAAACCTTAAGAGAATTCCTACTGACGAGAAGCGGGAAAGAAGAAAACCTTAAGAGAATTCTACTGACGAGAAGCGGAAAGAAGAAAACGAGAATTCCCAAGACAATACTGACGAGAAGGGAAAGAAAAACCTAAGAGAATTCTATCGACGAGAAGGGGAAAAGAAGAAACCTTAAGAGAATTCTATCGACGAGAAGCGGAAGAAAGAAGAAAAGCCTAAGAGAATTCTACCGACGAGAAGCGGGAAAGAAGAAACCTTAAGAGAATTCCTACTGACTAGACGAGAACAAACCTTAAGGGACGAGAAAAGAAGAAACCTTAAGAGAATTTACTGACGAGAAGGGGAAAGAAGAAACCCTTAAGAGAAATTCTACGACGAGAAGCGGGAAAGAAGAACCTTAAGAGAATTCTATCGACGAGAAGGGGGAAAGAAGAAACCCTTAAGAGAATTCTACTGACGAGAAGGGGAAAGAAGAAACCTTAAGAGAATTCTATCGACGAGAAGGGAAAGAATAAACCTTAGAGAATTCTTCTACTGACGAGAAGCAAACCTTAAGGAAAGAAGAAACCTTAAGAGAATTCTATCGACGAGAAGCGGAAAGAAGAAACCTTAAGAGAATTCCTACTGACGAGAAGCGGAAAGAAGAAACCTTAAGAGAATTCTACTGACGAGAAGGAAAGAACAAACCTTAAGAGAATTCTATCGACGAGAAGCGGAAAGAAGAAACCCTAGAAAGGGAAAGAACAAACTAAGAGAATTCTACTGACGAGAAGCGGGAAAGAAGAAAACCTTTAGAGAATTCTACTGACGAGAAGCGGAAAGAAGAAACCTAAGAGAATTCCTATCGACGAGAAGCGGGAAAGAAGAAATTCCTATCGACGAGAAGGAAAGAAGAAAACCTTAAGAGAATTCTACCGACGAGAAGCGGGAAAGAAGAAACCTTAAGAAGAGAATTTAAGAGAATACGAGAAGCGGAAAGAAGAAACCTAAGAGAATTTACGACGAGAAGGGAAAGAAGAAACCTTAAGAGAATACTACTGACGAGAAGGGAAAAAGAAACCCAAGAGAATTCTATCGACGAGAAGCGGGAAAGAAGAAACCCTTTAAGAGAAATTCTACCGACGAGAAGGGAAAGAAGAAACCTTTAAGAGAAAAGAAGAAACTAAGACAATTCCCATCGACGAGAAGGGGAAAGAAGAAACCTTAAGAGAATTCTATCTTTAAGAGAATTCTACTGACGAGAAGGGAAAAGAAGAAACCTTAAGAGAATTCTACTGACGAGAAGCGGGAGAAGAAACCTTAAGAAAGATTGACGAGAAGCGGGAAAGAAGAAACCTTAAGAGAATTCTATCGACGAGAAGCGGGAAAGAAGAAACCCAGAGAATTTATCGGCGAGAAGAAAGAAGAAACCTAAGAGAATTCTACTCGACGACGAGAAGACGGAAGAAAAGAAGAAACCTAAGAGAATTCTACTGACGAGAAGCGGGAAAGAAGAAAAACCTTAAGAGAATTCTACTGACGAGAAGCGGGAAAGAAGAAACCCTAAGAGAATTTATCGACGAGAAGGGAAAGAAGAAACCTTTAAGAGAATCTCTACTGACGAGAAGCGGAAAGAAGAAACCTGAAAGACGAGAAGTCAAACCTAAGAGAATTCCCATCGACGAGAAGGGAAAAGAAGAAACCTAAGAGAATTGTACCGACGAGAAGCGGAAAGAAGAACCTTAAGAGAATCCTACTGACGAGAAGCGGGAAAGAAGAAAACTTTAGAGAAATTCTATCGACGAGAAGGAAAGAAGAAACCTTAAGAAGACGAGAAGCGGAAAGAAGAAACCTTAAGAGAATTCTACTGACGAGAAGCGGGAAAGAAGAAACCTTAAGAGAATTCCTGACGAGAAGCGGGAAAGAAGAAACCTTTTAAGAGAATTCTACTGACGAGAAGGGGAAAGAAGAAACCTTAAGAGAATTCTGTATCGACGAGAAGCGGGAAAGAAGAAACTTTAAGAGAATTCTACTGACGAGAAGGGAAAAGAAACCTTAAGAAAGAAGAAACCTTAAGAGAATTCTATCGACGAGAAGCGGGAAAGAAGAAACCTTAAGAGAATTCTACTGACGAGAAGGGGAAAGAAGAAACGAGAATTCTACTGACGAAAGAAGAACCTTAAGGAAAGAAAAAAAACCTTAAGAGAATTTACCGACGAGAAGCGGGAAAGAAGAAACCTTTAAGAGAATTCTACTGACGAGAAGGGGAAAGAAGAAACCTTAAGAGAATTCTACTGACGAGAAGCGGGAAAAAGAAGAAACCTTAAGAGAATTCTATCGACGAGAAGAAAGAACCCGAAGAGAATTTTATCGACGAGAAGCGGGAAAGAAAAAACCTTAAGAGAATTCTCGACGAGAAGATGAGAAGAACCTTTAAGGAAAGAAGAAAACCTTAAGAGAATTCTACTGACGAGAAGGGGAAAGAAGAAACCCAAAGAGAATTTACTACCGACGAGAAGCGGGAAAGAAAAACCTAAGAGAATTCCTATCGACGAGAAGCGGGAAAGAAGAAACCTTAAGAGAATTCACCGACGAGAAGGGAAAAAAGAAAACCTTAAGAGAATCTCTACTGACGAGAAGGGAAAGAAGAAACCTTTAAGAGAATTCCATCAGACGAGAAGGGGAAAGAAGAAACCCTAAGAGAATCTTCATCGACGAGAAGCGGAAAGAAGAAACCTTAAGAGAATTATACTGACGAGAAAGCGGGAAAGAAGAACCTAAGAGAATTTAATACGAGAAGCGGGAAAGAAGAACCCGGAAGAGAATTTTATCGACGAGAGGGGAAAGAAGAAACATTAAGAGAAATCATACCACGAGAAGGGGAAGAAGAAACCCTAAGAGAATTCTACCGACGAGAAGCGGGAAAGAAGAAACCTTGCGAGAATTCCTATCGAGAAAGGGAAAGAAGAAAACCTTAAGAGAATTCTACTGACGAGAAGGGAAAGAAGAAACCTTAAGAGAATTTATCGACGAGAAGGGAAAGAAGAAACCCTAGAGAGAATTTTGCGCTGACGAGAAGCGGAAAGAAGAAACCTTAAGAGAATTCTACTGACGAGAAGCAAGGGGAAAGAAGAAACCTTAAGAGAATTCCTCATGACGAGAAGCAAAGAAGAAACCAAGGAGATTTCTATCTGAGAAAGGGAAAGAAGCGAAACCTAAGAGAATTTCACCGGACGAGAAGCGGGAAAGATAACATTAAGAGAATTCAACGGACGAGAAGCGGGCAAGGAAACCCAAGAGAATACTACCGACGAGAAGCGGAAAGAACAAACCTAAGAGAATCTCTAACGACGAGAAGCGGAAAAGAACAAACCTTAAGAGAATTCTACTGACGAGAAGGAAAGAAGAACGGAGAATTCTACTGAATGAGAAAAGGAAAGAAGAAAACCTAAGAGAATTCCTCTACTGACGAGAAGTTGAAGAAGAAACCTTAAGAGAATTCTATCGACGAGAAGGGAAAGAAGAAACTTATGAGAATTCTACCGACGAGAAGCGGGAAAAGAAGAAACCTGCGGAGAATTCTACCGACGAGAAGCGGGAAAAGAAACCCAAGAAAACCTAAGAGAGAATCCATCAACGAGAAGTGGGAAAGAAGAAAAACTTAAGAGAATTCTACCGACGAGAAGTGGAAAGAAGAAACGTTAAGAGAATTCTACCGACGAGAAGCGGAAAGAAGAACCTTAGAGAATACGAGGCAAAGAAAACTGAGAATTCGACGAGAAGCGGGAAAGAAGAAAACCCAAGAGAAATTCTACTGACGAGAAGGGGGAAAGAACAAACCATCGACGAGAATTTAAGAAGAAACCCAGAGGCCCTCATCGAAAGGAAAAGAAGAAACCTTAAGAGAATTCTACTGACGAGAAGAAACCTTAAGAGAAAGACGAGAAGTAAGAAGAAACCCAGAGAATTCCTACTGAGAGAAGGGAAAGAAGAAACTCTAAGAGAATTCTACCGACGAGAAGGGGAAAGAAGAAACCTTAAGAGAATTGGTACTGACGAGAAGGGGAAAGAAGAAACCAAGAGAATTCTACTGACGAGAAGCGGGAAAAAGAAGAAACCTAAGAGAATACTACTGACGAGAAGTGGAAAAGAACAAACCTGCAGAGAATTCCCATCGACGAGAAGCGGGAAAGAAGAAAACTTAAGAGAATTCCCACTGACGAGAAGCGGAAAGAAAAATCAAGAATCTTTACCGACGAGAAGCGGGAAAAGACAAAGAATCTTACTGAGAGAATCCTCAAGAGAATTCCTATCGACGACGAAGTGGGAAAGAAGGAACCTTAAGAGAATTCATCGACGAGAAGTGGAAAGAAGAACCCGCAGAGAATTCTACGAAGGAAAGGGAAAAGAAGAAATACTACTGACGAGAAGAAAGAGTTTAAGAGAATTTGTATCGACGAGAAGGGGAAAGAAGAAACCGGTAGAATTCTAAATGACGAGAAGGGAAAAGAAGAAAACATTAAGAGAATTCTACTGACGAGAAGAAGGAAAGAAAAAGAAGTGAAATCTAAAAGGAAAGAAGAAACCCAAGAGAATACGACGAGAAAGGAAGAACAAACCCAAGAGAATTCTATCGACGAGAAGCGGGAAAGAAGAAACCTTAAGAGAATTTACTGACGAGAAGCTTTGGAAAAAGAAACCTTGGAAGAGAATTCTATCGACGAGAAGCGGGAAAGAAGAAACGTTAAGAGAATTCTACCGACGAGAAGCGGGAAAGAACAACCCAGCGACGAAAGAAGAAACCTAAGAGAGAATTCCTGACGATGAGAAGTGGAAAGAAAACCCTTAAGAGAATTCCTACTGACGAGAAGCGGAAAGAAACCTAATAGAATTCCTCATCGACGAGAAGGGGGAAAGAAGAAACCCTAACAGGAACACTACTGACGAGAAGCGGGAAAAAAGAAACCCTAAGAGAATTTAATCGACGAGAAGCGGGGAAAGAAGAAACCTTAAGAGAATTCTAATTGAAGCGGGAAAGAAGAAACCTCAAGAATTCACTGACGAGAAGCGGGAAAGAAGAAACCCGAAGAAATTTCACTTGGACGAGAAGCAAGTTAGAAAACCAAGAGAATTCCTATATCGACGAGAAGCAAAAGAAACCTTTAAGAAATTATACCGACGAGAAGCGGGAAAGAAGAAACCTTAAGAGAATTCCACTGAGGAGAAGCGGAAAGAAGAAACCTTAAGAGAATTCTATCGACGAGAAGCGGAAAAAGAAGAAACCTTAAGAGAATTTATACTGACGAGAAGCGGGAAAGAAACAACCTTAAGAGAATCTAATCGAGAAAGCGGGGAAGAATAGAGAATCACCTGAAGAAGGAAAGAAGAAACCTTAAGAGAATTCCCATCGACGAGAAGCGGGAAAGAAGAAAACCCTAAGAGTTCTACTCGACGAGAAGCGGGAAAGAAGAAACCTTGGGAGAATTCTACTGATTGAGAAGGGAAAAGAAGGAAACCTAAGAGAATTCTACTGGACGAAGCGGAAAGAAGAAAACCCAAGAGAATTTTACTGACGAGAAGGGAAAAGAAGAAACCTTAAGAGAATTCTATCGACGAGAAGCGGGAAAGAACAAACCTTAAGAGAATTCTATCGACGAGAAGCGGGAAAGAAGAAAAACCCAGAGAATTCCTACTGACGAGAAGCGGAAAGAAGAACCTTAAGAGAATTTCACTGGACGAGAAGTTTGAAAAAGAAGAAACCTTAAGAGAATTCCTATCGACGAGAAGCGGGAAAAGAAGAAACCCAGAGAGAAACACGAGAAGCGGGAAAGAAGAAAACTTAAGAGAATACTATCAGACGAGAAGTGGAAAGAAGAAAACCTTGGAAGAGAATTCCCATCGACGAGAAAAGCGGAAAAGAAGAAACCTTAAGAGAATTTATCGACGAGAAGCGGGAAAAAGAAACCCGCAGAGAATTCTACTGACGAGAAGCGGGAAAGAAGGAAACCCAGAGAATTTCCATCGACGAAGCGGGAAAGAAGAAACCTGGAGAATTTACTGACGAGAAGCGGTAAGAACAAACCTTAATAGAATTCATCGACGAGAAGCGGGAAAGAAGAAAACCTTAAGAGAATACTATCGACGAGAAAGGGAAAAAAGAAACATTGGAGAATTCTATCGACGAGAAGGGAAAGAAAACCTAAGAGAATACTACTGACGAGAAAGGGGAAAAGAAGAAACCCAAGAGAATTCTACCGACGAGAAGGGAAGAAGAAAACCCTAAGAGAATACCCACTGACGAAGGGAAAAGAAACCAAGAGAAATTCTATCGACGAGAAGCGGGAAAGAAGAAACCTTAAGAGAATTCTACCGATTAGAAGGGGAAAGAAGAAAACCAAGAGAATTCTATCGACGAGAAAGTGGGAAGAAGAAACCTTTAAGAGAATTCCTGAATGACGAGAAGCGGGAAAGAAGAAACCTTAATAGAATTCTACGACGAGAAGCGGAAAGAACAAACCTTAACAGAATTTTCGATCACGAGAATCAAAAAGAAGAAACCCTAAGAGAATTCTTTCGATGATGAGAAAAGAAGAAGAAAACCTTAAGAGAATTCACTGACGAGAAGCGGGAAGAAAGAAACCTAAGAGAATTCCTAATGACGAGAAGCGGAAAAGAAACCTAAGAGAATTTAACGACCAGAAGGGAAAGAAGAAATCCCAGAGAATTCTATCGAGAAAGGAAAGAAGAAACCTTAAGAGAATTACTACTGACGAGAAGGGAAAGAACAAACCAAGAGAATTCTACTGACGAGAAGCGGGAAAGAAGAAACCTTAAGAGAACACGACCGACGATATGGAAAGAAAAAAACAGAGAGAATTCTATATCGAGAAAATGAAAGAAGAAAACCTAAGAGAATTTACTGACGAGAAGCGGAAAAGAAGAAACCATAAGAGAATCCTACTGACGAGAAGCGGGAAAAGAAAACCTTAAGAGAATTCCTAATGACGAGAAGCGGAAAGAAGAAACCCCAAGAGAATTCTATCGACGAGACGAGGGAAAGAAGAAAACCTAAGAGAATTTATCGACGAATCGGGAAGAAGAAACCCCGTAAGAGAATTCTAATACTGACGAAAAGAACCATTGGAGAAAGAACAACCTAAGAGAATTCTACTGGACGAAAGCGGGAAAAGAAGAAACCTTAGAGAATTCTATCGACGAGAGAGAAGGGAAAAGAAGAAACCAAGAAACGGTACGGACGAGAAGCGGGAAAGAAGAAACCTAAGATTCCTACTGACGAGAAGCGGGAAAGAAGAAACCTTAAGAGAATATCGACGAGAAAAGAGAAAGAAGAAACCTAAGAGAACTTTATCGACGAGAAGCAAGAAGAAACCTTAAGAGAATTCCACTGACGAGAAGGGGAAAGAAGAAACCCCAAGAGAATACGGACGACGAATGGAAAGAAACCCAGAAGAATTTATCACTGATGAAAAGAAGAAAGAACAAATCCCTACTGACGAGAAGGAAGAAGAAACTCGAGGCGAGAATCTTCTAGAATGACGAGAAGCGGGAAGAAGAAACCTTAAGAGAATTCTATCGACGAAAGCGGAAAGAAGAAAACCTTAAGAGAATTCCCCATCGACTATAGGGGAAAGAACAACCTTAATAGAATTTACTGACGAGAAGGGGAAAGAAGAAACCCAGAGAATTCTTCACGACGAGAAGGGAAAAAGAAACCTAGAGAATTCTATCGATGAGAAGGGAAAGAAGGAAACCTAAGAGAATTCTACCGACGAGAAGGGGAAAGAAGAACCTTAAGAGAATTCTATCGACGAGAAGCGGGGGAGAAGAAACCTTAAGAGAATTCTACCGATGAGAAGTGGAAAAGAAGAAACCTAAGAGAATTTCTCGACGAGAAGCGGAAAGAAAGAAACCTAAGAGAAGTCTAATGACGAGAAGCGGAAGAAGAAACCAAGAGAATTCACTGACGAGATGGAAAAGAAGAAACCCTAAGAGAATTCATCGACGAGAAGCGGGAAAGAAGAAACCCGAAGAGAATTCCTACTGACGAGAAGGAAAGAAAAACCTTAAAAGAGAATTCATCAACGAAAATCGGGAAGAAAAAGAAGAAACCTAAGAGAATTTATCGACGAGAAGCGAAAAGAAGAAACCCAAGAGAATTCCTACTGACGAGAAGGGGAAAAGAAGAAACCTTAAGAGAATTCTACCGACGAAAGCGGGAAAGAAGAAAAACTTAAGAGAATTTTATCGACGGAGAAGGGAAAGAAGAAACCTTAAGAGAATTTTACCGACGAGAAGCGGGAAAGAAGAAAAATGAAAGAGAATTTACCGACGAGAAGCGGGAAAGAAGAAACCTTAAGAGAATTCTATCGACGAGAAGGGGAAAAGAAACCGAAGAATTTCTACTGACGAGAAGCGGGAAAGAAGAAACCTAAGAGAATTCTACGACGAAAAAGAAACCTTGAAACCTAAAGCGGGAAAGAACAAAACCATGAGAATTCTACTGATGAGAAGTGGGAAAAGAACAAAACCTAAGAGAATTCTATCGACGAGAAGAAAGAAGAAACCTAAGAGAATCTTTATCGACGAGAAGGAAAGAAGAAACCCAAAAGAGAATTTACCGACGGGAAGCAAAAGAAAAACCTTAAGAGAATTCTATCGACGAGAAAGGAAAGAAGAAACCAAGAGAATTCTACTGACGAGAAGGGAAAGAAGAACCCAAGAGAATTCTCGCCATTGACGAGAAGCAAAAGAAGAAAACCTAAGAGAATTCTACTGACGAGAAGGGGAAAGAAGAAAACCCTAAGAGAATTCTCATCGACGAGAAGGGAAAGAAGAAACCTAAGAGAATTTCACTGACGAGAAGGGGGGAAGAAACCTAAGAGAATTCCTACTGACGAGAAGCGGGGAAAGAAGAAACCTTAAGAGAATTCTATCGACGAGAATAGGGGAAAAGAAGAAACCTGCAGAGAATTCCCACTGACGAGAAGTGGAAAGAAGAAACCTAAGAGAATCTCCTATGACAGAAGGGAAAGAAGAAACCCTAAGAGAATTCCTCATGATCACGAAAGGGAAAGAAGAAACCTTAAGAGAATTCTATCGACGAGAAGCGGGAAAGAAGAAACCTTAGAGAATTCTACTGACGACGAAGTGAAAAAAAGAAACCCCCGAAGAGAATTTACCTAAGAGAAGCGGGAAAGAAGAAACCCGTAAGAGAATTACTGACGAGAAGCGGAAGAAGAAAACCCCAAGAATTCCTACTGACGAGAAGCGGAAGATGAAACCTTAAGAGAATTCTATGGACGAGAAGCGGGAAAGAAGAACCTTAAGAGAATTCTATCGACGAGAAGCGGGAAAGAATAAACCTAAGAGAATTATACTGACGAGAAGCGGGAAAGAAGAAACCTTAAGAGAATCCCATCGACGAGAAGCGGAAGAAGAAACTCAAGAGAAATCTATCGACGATAAGCGGGAAAGAAGAAACCTATTAGAATTCTCTACTGACGAGAAGCGGGAAAAGAACAAACCTTAAGAGAAATTTCACCGACGAGAAAAGGGAAAGAAAAACCTTAAGAGAATTCTACTATCGAGAAGCGGGAAAGAAGAAACCCCAAGAGAATTTACTGACGAGAAGGGAAGAAGAAACCTTAAGAGAATCTTGCATCGACGAGAAGCGGGAAAGAGTCCCTCATCATTAATGAGAAGCGGAAAACGAAGAAACCTAAGAGAATTCCGACGAGAGAAGGGAAAGAAGAAAACCTTAGAGAATTTACTGACGAGAAGCGGGAAAGAAGAAACCTTAAGAGAATTCTACTGACGAGAAGCGAGAAAGAAGGAACCTAAGGAATTACTGACGAGAAGCGGGAAAAGAAAAACCTTAAGAGAATACTACTGGACGAGAAGGGAAAGAAACAAACCTTAAGAGAATTCTATCGACGAGAAGGAAGGAAAGAAGAAAACCCGAGAAGCGAGAAAGAAGAAACCCAAAAGAATTCACTGACGAGAAGCGGGAAGAAGAAAACCTTAAGAGAATACCCATCGACGAGAAGCGGAAAAGAAGAAACCTTAAGAGAATTCTACTGACGAGAAGCGAGAAAGAAGAAACCTTAAGAGAATTCCCACTGACGAAGCGGGAAAGAAGAAAACTAAGAGAATTCATCGACGAGAGAAAGAAGAAACCTTAAGAGAATTTCTACTGACGAGAAGAGAAGAAACCTTAAGAGAATCTTCACTGAAAGAAGAAAAACCTTAAGAGAATTCTATCGACGAGAAGCGGAAAAGAAGAAAACCTAAGAGAATTCTACGACGAGAAGGGAGAGAAGAAACCTTAAGAGAATTCTACTGACGAGAAGCGGGAAAGAAGAAACTCAAGAGAAAAAGAAAGAAACCCTTAAGAGAATTCCTATCGACGAGAAGGGAAAGAAGAAACCTTAAGAGAATCTCTACTGACGAGAAGCGGGGAAAGAAGAAACCTTAAGAGAATTTTACGACGAGAAGGGAAAGAAGAAACCTAAGAGAATTCCACAACGAGAAGCGGAAAGAAGAAAACCCAAGAGAATCTCTACCGACGAGAAGGGGAAAGAAGAAACCAAGAGAATTTTACTGACGAGAAGGGAAAGAAGAAACCTAAGAGAATTTATCGACGAGAAGACGAGAAAACTGGAGAATTCGGGAAAGAAAAGAAAAACTTAAGAGAATTCACTGACGAGAAGGGAAAGAAGAAACCTTAAGAAATTCTACCGACGAGAAGGGAAAAGAAGAAACGGAAAAGAAGAAAAAGAACCTTAAGAGGAATTCTACTGACGAGAAGCGGAAAGAAACAAACCTTAAGAGAATTCTATCGACGAGAAGCGAGAACAAAACCTTAAGAGAATTCTACTGACGGAAAAAGAAGAAAACTTAAGAGAATTCTACTGACGAGAAGGGAAAGAAGAAAAAGAAGAAACCTTAAGAGAATTTGTTAAGAGAATTTAAGAGAATTCACTGACGAGAAGCGGGAAAGAAGAAACTTAAGAGAATTCTACCACGAGAAGCGGAAAGAAGAAACCTAAGAGAATTCCTATCGACGAGAAGAAAAGAAAACCTTAAGAGAATTCTACTGATGAGAAGCGGGAAAGAAGAAACCTCAAGAGAATAACACCTTAAGAGAATTCTGACGAGAAGGGGGAAGAAGAAAACTACTGACGAGAATTCCTGACGAGAAGGGAAAGAACAAACCTAAGAGAATTCTAACGACGAGAAGGAAAGAAGAAACCTTAAGAGAATACTTATGACGAGAAGGGAAAAGAATGAAACCTTAAGAAAAGAAGAAAAGAACAAACTTAAGAGAGAATCTACTCGACGAGAAGCGGGAAAGAAGAAACCTTAAGAGAATTCTACTGGACGAGAAGGGGAAAGAAGAAACCATAAGAGAAGGGAAAGAAGAAACCTGAGAATCACGAAGGGAAAGAAGAAACCTTAAGAGAATTCCTACTGACGAGAAGCGGAAAGAAGAAACGTTAGAGAATTCTACTGACGAGAAGGGAAAGAAGAAACCTAAGAGAATCCATCGACGAGAGCGGGAAAAGAAGAAACGAGAATTCTACTGACGAGAAGAAAGAAGAAACCTTAAGAGAATATCTACTGACGAGAAGGGAAAGAAGAAACCCCAAGAGAATTCTATCGACGAGAAGCGGAAAAGAAGAAACCTTAAGAGAATTAAGAGAACCTTAGAATGACGACGAGAAGGAAAAGAAGAAACCCAAGAGAATTCCTCGACGAGAAGCGAGGAAAGAAAAACCTTAAGAGAAATTCTAACAACGAGAAGGGGAAAGAAGAAACATTAAGAGAATTCCTACTGACGAGAAGCGGGAAAGAAGAAACCTTAAGAGAATTCTACTGACGAGAAGCGGGAAAGAAGAAACCTTAAGAGAATTCTATCGACGAGAAGAAGAAAAAGAAGAAAAGCTTAAGAAACCTTACAGAATCTATTGACGAGACGAGAAGAAAACTAAGAGAAAGAACGAGAACCCCAAGAGAATTTCTATCGACGAGAAGGGAAAGAAGAACCCAAGAAATTTGAAGAGAAAAGAAGAAACCTTCTATCGACGAGAAGAAAGAAGAAACCTAAGAGAATTCTACTGACGAGAAGAAGGAAAGAAGAAACCCAATTTACCGACGAGAAGGGAAAGAAGAAAAACCTTAAGAGAATTCACTGACGAGAAGCGGGAAAGAACAAACCTTTAAGAGAATTCTAACGACGAGAAGGGGAAAGAAGAAACTAAGAGAATTCCTACTGACGAGAAGGGGAAAGAAGAAACCTAAGAGAATTTCACTGACGAGAAGGGAAAGAAGAAAACCTTAAGAGAATTCCTCTACTGACGAGAAGCTGGGAAAGAAGAAACCTTAAGAGAATCTTATCGACGAGAAGCGGGAAAAGAAACCTTAAGAAACCGAGAAGAGAATTCTACTGACGAGAAGAAGGAAAGAAGAAACCTAAGAGAATTCCACTGACGAAAGTGAGAAGAAACCTTAAGAGAATTTCTATCGAAAGAAGAAAAAGAAAACTTTGAGAATTCTATCGACGAGAAGGGAAAGAAGAAACCTTAAGAGAATTGTACGACGAGACGAGAAGGAACCTAAGCGAGAAGCGGAAAAACTTTAAGAGAAGAAACCTTAAGAGAAATTCTACTGACGAGAAGCGAGAAAGAAGAAACCTTTAAGAGAATTCTATCGACGAGAAGCGGGAAAAGAAAACCCCAAGAGAATCTCACCTGACGAGAAGCGGGAAAAAGAAACCAAGAGAATACTACTGAAGAAGGGAAAGAAGAAACCACGAGAAGCGGAAAGAAGAAACCTTAAGAGAATTTTCTATCGACGAAAAGAAGAACCCTAAGAGAAAAGATAAGGGGAAGAAGAAACCTTAAGAGAATTCTACAGACGAGAAAGAAAGAAAAACCTTTAAGAGAGTTCTACGACGAAGACGAGAATACTACTGACGAGAAGCGGAAAAAAGAAACCTTAAGAGAATTCTATCGACGAGAAGCGGGAAAGAAGAAACCTTAAGAGAATTCCACTGACGAGAAGGGAAGAAGAAACCTTAAGAGAATTTCATTGACGAGAAGTGGAAAGAAGAAACCTAAGAGAATTCTACTGACGAGAAGGGAAAAAGAAAGAAACCCAAGAGAATTTTAGACGAGAAGCGGGAAAGAAGAAACCTTAAGAGAATTTATCGACGAGAAGCGGGAAAGAAGAAACCCGTAAGAGAATTCTTGACGACGAGAAGGGAAAGAAGAAAACCTAAGAGAATCTCTATCGACGAGAAGCGGGAAAGAAGAAACCCCAAGAGAATCTATCGACGAGAAGGAAAGAAGAACCTAAAGAATCTCACCTTAAGAGAAGAAATCTTAAGAGAATCGACTGACGAGGGGGAAAGAAGAAACCTTAAGAGAATTCTACTGACGAGAAGGAAAGAAGAAACCTTAAGAGAATTCCCATGACGAGAAGGGGAAAGAAGAAACCTGACGAGAAGCGGGAAAGAAGAAACCTTAAGAGAATTCACTGACGAGAAGGAAAGAAGAAACCTAAAGAAAACCTAAGAGAATTCTATCGACGAGAAGCGGAAAGAAGAAACCTTAAGAGAATCTCCTGACGAGAAGGGAAGAAGAAACCTTAAGAGAATTCTACTGACGAGAAGCGGGAAAGAAGAAAACCTTAAGAATACTATTGACGAGAAATAAACCTTAAGAGAAGTCCATCGACGAGAAGGGAAAGAAACCCAAGAGAATTCTACTGACGAGAAGGGGAAAAACCTAAGAGAATACTACTGACGAGAAGAAAGAATTCTACTGAATTCTATCGAGAAGGAAAAGAAGAACCTAAGAGAATACTACTGACGACGAGAAGGGAAAGAAGAAACCAGAAAATTTACCACGAGAAGAAAGAAGAAAACCTTAAGAGAATCGACGAGAAGCGGGAAAGAAGAAACCTTAAGAGAATTCTACTACTGACGACGAGAAAGCGGGAAAGAAGAAACCCAAGAGAATTCTACTGACGAGAAGGGGAAAAAGAAACCTTAAGAGAATTTTACCGACGAGAAGCGGAAAAGAAGAAAACCCTAAGAGAATTTCTACTGACGACGAGGAAGAGAATCTCGGAGAAGAAAGAACCCTTAAGAGGAATTCACTGACGAGAAGCGGGAAGAAGAAAACCCGAAGAGAATTCTATCGACGAGAAGGGAAAGAAGAAACCTTAAGAGAATTCTACTGACGAGAAGGGAAAAGAAAAGAAGAAAACCCTTAAGAGAATTCTACCGACGAGAAGCGGGAAAAAGAGAATTCCTACTGAAAAGGGGAAAGAATAAACCTTAAGAGAATTCTATCGACGAGAAGCGGGAAAGAAGAAACCTTAAGAGAATTCTACTGACGAGAAAGAAGAACCTTAAGAGAATTCTACTGAAAGTGAAAGAAGAAACCTTAAGAGAATCTCTACGAGGAAAGGGAAAAAGAAGAAACCTTAAGAGAATTCTACTGACGAGAAGGGAAAGAAGAAACCTTAAGAGAATTCGACGAAAGCGGGAAAGAAACCTTTAAGAGAATTCTACTGACGAGAAGGGAAAGAACAAACCTTAAGAGAATTCTACTGACGAGAAGCGGAAAAGAAGAACCTAAGAGAATTCGACTGACGAGAAGCGGGAAAGAACAAACCTTAAGAGAATTCTATCGACGAGAAGGGAAAGAAGAAACCTTAAGAGAATTCTACTGACGAGAAGGGGAAAGAACAAACCCTATAAGAGAATTTAAGAAATACTGACGACGAGAAGGGAATAAACGAGAAGAAAAGAACAAACCTTAAGAGAATTCTATCGACGAGAAGGGGAAAGAAGAAACCTTAAGAGAATACTACTGACGAGAAGCTATCGGAAAGAAGAAACCTTAAGAGAATTCTATCGACGAGAAGCGGAAGAAGAAACCCAAGAAATACTACTGATGAGAGAATTCCTAAGAGAATTCTACTGACGAAGCGGGAAAGAACAAACCTTAAGAGAATTCTAGAATTCTTAAGAGAATTCTATGACGAGAAGCGGGAAAGAAGAAACCTAAGAGAATTCTACTGACGAGAAGCGGAAGAAAAACCTCAAGAGAAATTCTATCGACGAGAAGCAGGAAAGAGAAAAGAAACAACCGAGGTTCTATCGACGAGAAGCGGAAAGAAGAAACCTAAGAGAATTAAGAGAATACTACTGACGAGAAGGGAAAAACAAGAAACTATTAAGAGAGAATTCTACTGACGAGAAGCGGGAAAGAAGAACCTTAAGAGAATTCTACTGACGAGAAGCGGAAAGAAGAAACCTTAAGAGAATTCTATCGACGGCGGGAAAGAAGAAACCTTAAAGAATTCTACTGACGAAGAGAAAAAGAAACCTAAGAGAATTCTACTACTGACGAGAAGCGGGAAAGAAGAAACCTTAAGAAGAAACTATCTGACGAGAAGCGGGAAGAAAGAAACTCTTACTGACGAAGAGAATTTCTATCGATGAGAAGCGGAAAAGAAGAAACCTTAAGGACGAAAGAAGAAAAACCTTAAGAGAATTCTATCGAGAAGGAAAAAGAAGAAACCTGAGAATTCTACCGACGAGAAGAAGAAGAAACCTTAAGAGAATCCCTATCGACGAAAGAAAAGAAGAAGAAACCTATCGAAGAGAATTTAAGAGAATTACTGACGAGAAGGGGGAAGAACAAACCTTAAGAGAATTCTATGACGAGAAGCGAGAAAACTTAGAATTCTACTGGGACGAGAAGAAAAGAAGAAACCTTAAGAGAATTCTATCGACGAGAAGAAGAACCTTAGAAATTCTACTGATAAGAGAATTCTACCTGACGAGAAGGGAAAGAAGAAACCTTAAGAGAATTCTACTGACGAGAAGGGAAAGAAGAAACCTTAAGAGAATTCTACTGACGAAGGAAGAAGAAACCTTAAGAAACTACTGACGAGAGAAAGAACAAACCTTCCTATTTCTATCGACGAGAAGCGGGAAGAAGAAACCAAATTCTACTGACGAGAAGAAAAGAAGAACCTAAGAGAATTCTATCGACGAGAAGTGGAAGAAACAAACCTAAGAGAATTCTATCGACGAGAAGGGAGAAGAAACCTACTGACGAAGCAGAAAACAAACCTTAGAGAATTCTATCGACGAGAAGGGAAGAAGAAACCTTAAGAGAATCTCTACTGACGAGAAGGACGAAAGGAAAGAAAAGCAAAAGAAAAATTCTAAGAGAATTCTACTGACGAGAAGCGAAAGAAGAACGTTAAGAGAATTCTACTGACGAGAAGCGGAAAGAAGAAACCTTAAGAGAATTCTATCGACGAGAAGCGGAAAGAAGAAACCTTAAGAGAATTCTACTGACGAGAAGAAGGTAAAAAAAACCTTGAAAGAGAATTCTATCGACGAGAAGCGGGAAAGAATAGAATTCTATCACTGACGAAACCCAAGAGAATTCTACTGACGAAGCGGGAAAAAGAAACCTTAAGAGAATTCTATCGACGAGAAGCAGGAAAAGAAGAAACCTTAAGAGAATTCTACTGACGAGAAGGGGGAAGAAGAAAACAAGAGAATTCTACTGACGAGAAGCGGAAAGAAGAAACCAAGAGAATCTACTGACGAGAAGCGGGAAAGAAGAAACCTTAAGAGAATTCTATCGACGAGAAGGGAAAGAAAACCTTAAGAGAATTCTACTGACGAGAAGCGGGAAAAGAAGAAACCTTAAGAGAATTCTATCGACGAGAAGGGAAAGAAGAAACCTTAAGAAATTCTACTGACGACGAGAAGGGAAAGAAGAAACCTTAAGAGAATTCTACTGACGAAAGCAGGAAAGAACAAACCTTAAGAGAATTCTATCGACGAAGCGGGAAAGAAGAAACCTTAAGAGAATTCTACTGACGAGAAGCGGGAAAGAAGAAACCTTGGAAGAGAATTCTACTGACGAGAAGAAAAGAAGAAAAACTTAAGAGAAACTGACGAGAAGAAACCTAAGAGATTCTAACGACGAGAAGCGGAACAAACCTTAAGAGAATTCTACTGACGAAAGGGGGAAAAGAAGAAACCTTAAGAGAATACTACTGACGAGAAGGGAAAGAAAGAAACCTTAAGAAATTCTACTGACGAGAAAGAAGAAACCTTAAGAGAATACGACTGACGAGAAGAAAGAAGAAACCTTAAGAGAATTCTATCGAAGCAGAGAAGCGGGAAAGAAGAAACCTTAAGAGAAATTCTGACGAGAAGCGGGAAAAAAAACTTAAGAGAATTCTACTGAAACGGAAAGAAGATACCTTAAGAGAATTCTATCGACGAGAAGCGGGAAAGAAGAAACATAAGAGAATTCTACTGACGAAAACGGGAAGAAGAAACCTTAAGAGAATATCGATCGACGAGAATCGGGAAAGAAGAAACCTTAAGAGAATTCTACTGACGAGAAGCGGAAAGAAGAAACCTTAAGAGAATTCTACTGACGAGAAGGGAAAGAAGAAACCTTAAGAGAAAGAACAAACTGACGAGAAGCTGGAAGAAAAAAAGAAATTCTATCGACGAGAAGCGGGAAAGAAAACCTTGAGAATTCTACTGACGAGAAGCGGGAAAAAGAAGAAACCTTAAGAGAATTCTATCGACGAGAAGGGAAAGAAACCTTAAGAGAATTCATCGAGGAGAAGCGGGAAAGAAAAACCTTAATAGAATTTATCGACGAGAAGCACCTTGCAGAGAATTCTACTGACGAGAAGCGGGAAAAAAAAAAACCTTAAGAGAATTCTATCGACGAGAAGGAGAAAGAAGAAAACCTTAAGAGAATTCTACTGACGAGAAGCGGGGAAGAAGAAACCTTAAGAGAATTCTATCGACGAAAACCTTAAAGAAATTCTACTGACGGGAAAGAAGAAACAAAGAATTCTATCGACGAGAAGCGGGAAAGAAGAAACCATTAAGAGAATTATACTGACGAGAAAAAAGAAGAAACCTTAAGAGAATTCTACTGACGAGAAGCGGGAAAGAAGAAAAACCTTAAGAGACGATAAGCAGGAAAGAATAAACCTTAAGAGAATTCGACGAGAAGCGGGAAGAAGAAACCTTAAGAGAATCTCATCAACGAGAAGGGGAAAGAAGAAAAACTTAAGACGAAAGCGGAAAGAAGAAAACTTAAGAGAATTCTACTGACGAGAAGCGGAAAAACCTTAAGAAACCTATCGAAGAGAATTGAAACCTTGACCGACGAGAAGGGGAAAGAAGAAACCTACTGAAGAGAATTCCCACTGACGAGAAGGGGAAAGAAGAAACCTTAAGAGACGATTAAAATTCTATCGACGAGAAGCGGAAAGAAGAAACCTTAAGAGAATGACGAGAAGCAGGAAAAAGAAACCTTAAGAGAATACCTGACGAGAAGTGGGAAAGAACAAACCTTAAGAGAAGAAACGAGAAAAAGAAACCTTAAGAGAATTCTACTGACGAGAAGGGAAACTACTGAAGAAACAAACCTTAAGAGAATTCTATCTGACGAGAAGCGGAAAGAAGAAACCTGACGAAGCAGGAAGAAAAACATAAGAGAAATTCTACTGACGAGAAGCGGGAAAGAAGAAAAGAACAAGAGAATTCTATCGACAAAGCGGGAAAGAAGAAAACCTTAAGAGAATTCTACTGATTTGAGAAGCGGGAAAAACAAACCCTAAGAGAATTCTATCGACGAGAAGGGAAAGAATACTACACTGAAACCTTAAGAAATTCTATCGACGAGAAGCTGGAAAGAACAAACCTTAAGAGAATTCTACATCGACGAGAAGGAAAGAAGAAACCTTAAGAGAATTCTACCGACGAGAAGCGGAAAGAAGAAATTTTAAGAGAATTCTACTGACGAGAAGCGAAAGAAGAAACCTTAAAGAAATTCTACAGACGAAGCGGGAAAGAAATAAACCTTAAAATTCTACTGACGAAGCGGGAAAGAAGAAACCTTAACAGAATTCTATGACGAGAAGCGGAAAGAGCTCCAAGAGAATTCTATCGACGAGAAGCGGGAAAAGAAGAAACCTTAAGAATTTCTACTGACGAGAAGCGGGAATAGAAACCTTAAGAGAATTATCTACGAATCGGAAAGAAGCCTTAAGGACGAAAGAAGAAACTTAAGAAAATTCTACTGACGAGAAGCGGGAAAGAAGAAACCTTAAGAGAATTCTACTGACGAGAAGCGGGAAAGAAGAAACCTTAAGAGAATTCTACTGACGAGAAGCGGGAAAAAAGAAACCTTAAGAGAATTCTACTCGACGAGAAGGGAAAGAAGAAACCTTAAGAGAATTCTAACGACTGACGAGAAAATAAAGAAACCTTAAGAGAATTCTACTGACGAGAAGGGAAAGAAGAAACCTTAAGAGAATTCGACTGACGAGAAGTAAGAACAAACCTTAAGAGAATTCTATCGAGAAGCGGGAAAGAAGAAACCTTAAGAGAATTCTACTGACGAGAAGCCCAAGGGAAAGAAGAAACCTTAAGAGAATTCTACTGACGAGAAGCGGGAAAAGAAAACCTTAAGAAATTCCGACGAGAAGGAAAGAAGAAACCTTAAGAGAATTCTACTGACGAGAAGGGGAAGAAGAAACCTTAAGAGAATTCTATCGACGAGAAGGAAAAGAAGAAACCTTAAGAGAATACTATCGACGAGAAGCGGAAGAAAAACCTTAAGAAATTCCGAGAAGTGGAAGAGAAAGCGGGAAGAAGAAACTAAGACTATCGACGAAGAAGGGAAAGAAGAACCTTAAGAGAATTCTACTGACGAGAAGGGGAAAGAACAAACCTTAAGAGAATTCTATCGACGAGAAGCGGGAAAGAAGAAACCTTAAGAGAATTCTACGACGAGAAGCGGGAAAAGAAATTCTGAAACCCTTAAGAGAATTCTATCGACGACGAGAAGAAACCTTAAGGAAAAGAAGAAAAACCTTAAGAGAATTCTACTGACGAAAAGCGGAAAGAAGAAACCTTAAGAGAATTCTATCGACGACGAGAAAGAAGAAAGAAGAAACCTTAAGAGAATACTACTGACGAGAAGGGAAAGAAGAAACCTTAAGAGAATACTATCGACGAGAAGGGAAAGAACAAACCTTAAGAGAATTCTACTGACGAGAAGCGGAAAGAAGAAACCTTAAGAGAATTTACTGACGAGAAGCGGGAAAGAAGAAACCTTAAGAGAATTCTACTGACGAGAAGCGGAAAGAAGAAACCTAAGAGAATTCTATCGACGAGAAGCGGGAAAGAAGAAACCTTAAGAGAATTCTATCGACGAGAAGCGGGAAAGAAGAAAACCTTAAGAAGGGAAAGAATTAAGAGAATTCTATCGACGAGAAGGGAAAAAAAACCTAAGAAATTCTATCGACGAAAGGGAAAGAAGAAACCTTAAGAGAATTCTACTGACGAGAAGCGGAAAGAAAAAAGAAACTATCGACGGAAAGAAGAAGAGAATTCTACTGACGAGAAGGGAAAGAAGAAACCTTAAGAGAATTCTACTGACGAGAAGCGGGAAAGAAGAAACCTTAAGAGAATTCTACTGACGAGAAGCGGGAAAGAAGAAGAAACCTTAAGAGAAAGAAACCTCTACTGACGAGAAGGGGAAAGAAGAAACCTTAAGAGAATTCTACTGACGAGAAGGGGAAAGAAGAAACCTAAGAGAATTCTATACTGACGAGAAGCGGAAAGAAGAAACCTAAGAGAATTCTACTGACGAGAAGCGGGAAAGAAGAAACCTAAGAGAATTCTACTGACGAGAAGGGAAAAAGAAAAACCTTAAGAGAATTCTATCGACGAGAAGGGGAAAGAAACCTTAAGAGAATTCTACTACGAGAAGACGAGAAGGGGAAAGAAGAAACCTTAAGAGAATTCTACGACGAGAAGCGGAAAGAAAGAAACCTTAAGAGAGAATACTACTGACGAAAAAGAACAAACCTTAAGAGAATTCTATCGACGAGAAGCGGAAAGAAGAAACCTTAAGAGAATACTACTGACGAGAAGCGGGAAAGAATAAACCTTAAGAGAATTCTACTGACGAGAAGGGAAAGAAGAAACCTTAAGAGAATTCTATCGACGAGAAGCGGGAAAGAAGAAACCATAAGAGAATTCTACTGACGAGAAGGGAAAGAAGAAACCTTAAGAGAATTCTATGACGAGAAGGGAAAGAAGAAACCTTAAGAGAATTCTATCGACGAGAAGCGGGAAAGAAGAAACCTTAAGAGAATTCTACTGACGAGAAGGGGAAAGAAGAAACCTTAAGAGAATTCTACTGACGAGAAGCGGGAAAGAAGAAACCTTAAGAGAATTCTACTGACGAGAAGCGGGAAAGAAGAAACCTTAAGAGATTCTATCGACGAGAAGCGGAAAGAAGAAACCTTAAGAGAATTCTACTGACGAGAAGGGGAAAGAAGAAACCTTAAGAGAATTCTATCGACGAGAAGGGAAAGAAGAAACCTTTAAGAGAATTCTACTGACGAGAAGCGGGAAAGAAGAAACCTTAAGAGAATTCTACTGACGAGAAGGGAAGAAGAAACCTTAAGAGAATTCTACTGAAAAGAAAGAAACCTTAAGAGAATTCTACTGACGAGAAGCGGGGAAAGAAGAAACCTTAAGAAATTCTAGAACGAGAAAAAAGAAGAAACCCTAAGAGAATTCTACTGACGAGAAAGAAGAAACCTTAAGGACGAAAAGAAAGAAAACCTTAAGAGAATTCTATCGACGAGAAGCGGGAAAGAAGAAACCTTAAAGAATTCTACTGACGAGAAGCGGAAAGAAGAAACCTTAAGAGAATTCTATCGACGAGAAGCGGGAAAGAAGAAACCTTAAGAGAATTCTACTGACGAGAAGCGGGAAAGAAGAAACCTAAGAGAATTCTACTGACGAGAAGCGGAAAGAAGAAACCTTAAGAGAATTCTACTGACGAGAAAGAACAAACCTAAGAGAATTCTATCGACGAAAGCGGGAAAGAAAAACCTTAAGAGAATTCTACTGACGAGAAGCGGAAAGAAGAAACCTGACGAGAAGGAAGAGAATTCTTCTACTGACGAGAAGAAGAAACGGGAAACGAAAGAAACCTAAGAAGAGAATTCTATCGACGAGAAGCGGAAAGAAGAAACCTTAAGAGAATTCTACTGACGAGAAGGGAAAGAAGAAACCTTAAGAGAATTCTACTGACGAGAAGCAGGAAAGAAGAAACCTTAAGAGAATTCTATCGACGAGAAGCGGGAAAGAAGAAACCTTAAGAGAATTCTACTGACGAGAAGGGAAAGAAGAAACCTTAAGAGAATTCTATCGACGAGAAGCGGGAAAGAAGAAACCTTTAAGAGAATTCTATCGACGAGAAGCGGGAAAGAAGAAACCTAAGAGAATTCTATCGACGAGAAAAGAAGAAACCTTAAATGAATTCTATGATGAAAGCGGAAAGAAGAAACCTTAAGAGAATTCTATCGACGAGAAGCCAAGAGAATTCTACTGACGAAGCAGGAAAAGAAGAAAACCTTAAGAGAATTCTACTCGACGAGAAGCGGGAAAGAAGAAACCTTAAGAGAATTCTATCTGACGAGAAGCGGGAAAGAAGAAACCTTAAGAGAATTCTACTGACGAGAAGCGGGAAAGAAGAAACCTTAAGAGAATTCTATCGAGAAGCGGGAAAGAAGAAACCTTAAGAGAATTCTACTGAAGAAAATTCCTACTGACGAGGAAAGAAGAAACCTAAGAGAATTCTACTGACGAGAAGCGGAAAGAAGAAACCCAAGAGGAAAGACGAAAGCTTAAAGAAGAAACCTTAAGAGAATCTACTGACGAGAAGCGGAAAGAAGAAACCTTAGAGAATTCTACTGACGAGAAGCGGAAAAGAAGAAACCTTAAGAGAATTCTACTGACGAGAAAGAAAGAAGAAACCTTAAGAGAATTCTACTGACGAGAAGCGGGAAAGAAGAAACCTTAAGAGAATTCTATCGACGACGAGAAGCGGGAAAGATGAAACCTTAAGAGAATTCTACTGACGAGAAGCGGAAAGAAGAAACCTTAAGAGAATTCTATCGACTGACGAGAAGCGGGAAAGAAGAAACAGAAGAAACTACTGAAGAAAGAATTCTATCGACGAGAAGCGGAAAGAAGAAACCTTAAGAGAATTCTATCGACGAGAAGCGGAAAGAAGAAACCTTAAGAGAATTCTACTGACGAGAAGCGGGAAAGAAGAAACCTTAAGAGAATTCTACCGACGAGAAGGGGAAAGAAGAAACCTTAAGAGAATTCTACTGACGAGAAGCGGAAAGAAGAAACCTTAAGAGAATTTCTACTGACGAGAAACGGGAAAGAAGAAACCTTAAGAGAATTCTACTGACGAGAAGCGGAAAAAGAAGAAACCTTAAGAGAATTCTACTCGACGAGAAGCGGAAAGAAGAAACCCTTAAGAGAATTAAGAATTCTACTGACGAGAAGCGGGAAAGAAGAAACCTTAAGAGAATTCTACTGACGAGAAGCGGGAAAGAAGAAACCTTAAGAGAATTCTACTGACGAGAAGCGGGAAAGAAGAAACCTTAAGAGAATTCTACTGACGAGAAGCGGAAAGAAAAAACCTTTAAGAGAATCTATCGACGAGAAGCGGGAAAGAAGAAAGAAGAGAATTCTACTGACGAGAAGCGGGAAAGAAGAAACCTTAAGAGAATTCTATCGACGAGAAGCGGGAAAGAAGAAACCTTAAGAGAATTCTACTGACGAGAAGCGGGAAAGAACAAACCTTAAGAGAATTCTATCGACGAGAAGCGGGAAAGAAGAAACAAGAGAAATTCTACTGACGAGAAGCGGGAAAGAAGAAACCTTAAGAGAATTCTACTGACGAGAAGCGGGAAAGAAGAAACCTTAAAGAGAATTCTACTGACGAGAAGCGGAAAGAAGAAACCTTAAGAGAATTCTACTGACGAGAAGGGGAAAGAAGAAACCTTTAAGAGAATTCTATCGACGAGAAGGGGAAAGAAGAAACCTTAAGAGAATTCTATCGACGAGAAGCGGGAAAGAAAACCTTAAGAGAACCTACTGACGAGAAGAAAGAAGAAACCTTAAGAGAATTCTACTGACGAGAAGCGGGAAAGAAGAAACCTTAAGAAATTCTACTGACGAGAAGCGGAAAAAAAAACCTTAGAGAATTCTATCGACGAGAGAAAAGAAGAAACCTTAAGAGAATTCTACTGACGAGAAGCGGGAAAGAACAAACCTTAAGAGAATTCTACGACGAGAAGCGGGAAAAGAAACAGAAACCTTAAGAGAAACCTTAAGAAATTCTACTGACGAGAAGGAAAGAAAGAAACCTTAAGAGAATTCTACTGACGAGAAGCGGGAAAGAAGAAACCTTAAGAGAATTCCCATCGACGAGAAGCGGGAAAGAAGAAACCTTAAGAGAATTCTACTGACGAGAAGCGGGAAAGAAGAAACCTTAAGAGAATTCTATCGACGAGAAGCGGGAAAGAAGAAACCTTAAGAGAATTCTATCGACGAGAAGCGGGAAAGAAGAAACCTTAAGAGAATTCTACTGATGAGAAGCGGGAAAGAAGAAACCTTAAGAGAATTCTATCGACGAGAAGCGGGAAAGAAGAAACCTTAAGAGAATTCTATCGACGAGAAGCGGGAAAGAAGAAACCTTAAGAGAATTCTACTGACGAGAAGCGGGAAAGAAGAAACCTTAAGAGAATTCTACTGACGAGAAGCGGGAAAATTCTACTGACGAAAGCGGGAAAAGAAACCTTAAGAGAATTCTATCGACGAGAAGCGGGAAAGAAGAAACCTTAAGAGAATTCTCGACTGACGAGAAGCGGGAAAGAAGAAACCTTAAGAGAATTCTATCTGACGAGAAGCGGGAAAGAAGAAACCTTAAGAGAATTCTATCGACGAGAAGCGGGAAAAGAAAAGAAATTCTACTTAAGAAAGAAGAAACCTTCTACTCACGAGAAGCGGGAAAGAAGAAACCTTAAGAGAATTCTACTGACGAGAAGCGGGAAAGAAGAAACCTTAAGAGAATTCTACTGACGAGAAGCGGGAAAGAAGAAACCTTAAGAGAATTCTACTGACGAGAAGCGGGAAAGAAGAAACCTTAAGAGAATTCTATCGACGAGAAGCGGGAAAGAAGAAACCTTAAGAGAATTCTACTGACGAGAAGCGGGAAAGAAGAAACCTTAAGAGAATTCTACTGACGAGAAGTGGGAAAGAACAAACCTTAAGAGAATTCTATCGACGAGAATCAGGAAGAGAATTCTACTGACGAGAAGCGGGAAAGAAGAAACCTTAAGAGAATTCTACTGACGAGAAGCGGAAAGAAGAAACCTTAAGAGAATTCTACTGACGAAGAAGGAAAGAAGAAACCTAAGAGAATTCTATCGACGAGAAGCGGGAAAGAAGAAACCTTAAGAGATTCTATCGACGAGAAGCGGGAAAGAAGAAACCTTAAGAAATTCTACTGACGAGAAGGGGGAAAGAAGAAGAAACTTAAGAGAATTCTATCGACGAGAAGCGGGAAAGAAGAAACCTTAAGAGAAATTCTACTGACGAGAAGCGGGAAAGAAGAAACCTTAAGAGAATTCTATCGACGAAGAGGGAAAGAAGAAACCTTAAAGAATTCTACTGACTAGACGAGAAGAAAACAACAAAAATCCCTACTGAAAGAAAAGAAAAACCTTAAGAGAATTCTATCGACGAGAAGGGAAAAGAAGAAACCTTAAGAGAATTCTATCGACGAGAAGCGGGAAAGAAGAAACCTTAAGAGAATTCTACTGACGAAGAAAGAAAAACCTTAAGAGAATTCTATCGACGAGAAGGACGAAGCAGGGAAAGAATAAACCTTAAGAGAATTCTATCGACGAGAAGCAGGAAAGAAGAAACCTTAAGAGAATTCTACTGACGAGAAGCGGGAAAGAAGAAACCTTAAGAGAATTCTACTGACGAGAAGCGGGAAAGAAGAAACCTTAGAGAATTCTACTGACGAGAAGCGGGAAAAGAAGAAACCTTAAGAGAATTCTACGACGAGAAGGAAAGAAGAAACCTTAAGAGAATTCTATCGACGAGAAGCGGGAAAGAAGAAACCTTAAGAGAATTCTACTGACGAGAAGCGGGAAAGAAAAACCTTAAGAGAATTCTACTGACGAGAAGCGGGAAGAAGAAACCTCCAGAGAATTCTACTGACGAGAAGCGAGAAAGAAGAAACCTTAAGAGAATTCTATCGACGAAAGAAGAAACCTTAAGAGAATTCTACTGAAAGAAAAGAAAAACCTTAAAGAGAATTCTACTGACGAGAAGCGGGAAAGAAGAAACCTAAGAGAATTCTACTGACGAGAAGCGGGAAAGAAGAAACCTTAAGAGAATTCTATCGACGAGAAGCGGAAAGAAGAAACCTTAAGAGAATTCTACTGACGAGAAAGAAGAAACCTTACAGAATTCTACTGGAAGGAAGGAAAGAAAAACCTTAAGAGAATTCTATCGACGAGAAGCGGGGAAAGAAGAAACCTTAAGAGAATTCTACTGACGAGAAAGCGGAAAGAAAAAAACCTTAAGAGAATTCTATCGACGAGAAGCGGGAAAAGAAACCTTAAACCTACTGACGAGAGAAAGAAGAAACCTAAGAGAATTCTATCGACGAGAAGGGAAAGAAGAAACCTTAAGAATTCTATCGACGATTCTACTGACGAGAAGCGGGAAAGAAGAAACCTTAAGAGAATTCTACTGACGAGAAGCGGGAAAGAAGAAACCTTAAGAGAATTCTATCGACGAGAAGAAAGAAGAAACCTTAAAGAAAACCTATCGACGAAGCGGGAAAGAATTCTACTGACGAGAAGCGAAAAGAAGAAACCTTAAGAGAATTCTACTGACGAGAAGCGGGAAGAAGAAACCTTAAGAGAATTCTATCGACGAGAAAAGAAGAAACGGGAAAGAAGAAAAACCTTAAGAGAATTCTACTGACGAGAAGCGGGAAGAAGAAACCTTAAGAGAATTCTATCGACGAGAAGCGGGAAAGAAGAAACCTTAAGAGAATTCTACTGACGAGAAGGGGAAAAGAAGAAACCTTAAGAGAATTCTATCGACGAGAAGCGGGAAGAAGAAACCTTAAGAGAATTCTATCGACGAGAAGGGAAAGAAGAAACCTTAAGAGAATACTACTGACGAGAAGGGGAAAGAAGAAACCTTAAGAGAATTCTATCGACGAGAAGCGGGAAAAAGAAGAAACTACTGACGAGAGAAAAAAAACAAACCTTAAAGAGAATTCTATCGACGAGAAGCGAGAAGAAAACCTTAAGGAATTCTACTGACGAAGAAAAGAAAACCTAAGAGAATTCTACTGACGAGAAGCGGAAAGAAGAAAACCTTAAGAGAATTCTACTGACGAGAAGCGGGAAAGAAGAAACCTTAAGAGAATTCTACTGACGAGAAGCGGGAAAGAAGAAACCTTAAGAGAATTCTATCGACGAGAAGGGAAAGAAGAAACCTTAAGAGAATTCTATCGACGAGAAGCGGGAAAGAAGAAACCTTAAGAGAATTTTATCGACGAGAAGCGGGAAAGAAGAAACCTTAAGAGAATTCTATCGACGAGAAGCGGGAAAGAAGAAACCTTAAGAGAATTCTACTGACGAGAAGCGGGAAAGAAGAAACCTTAAGAGAATTCTACTGACGAGAAGCGGGAAAGAAGAAACCTTAAGAGAATTCTACTGACGAGAAGCGGGACTGAAAAAACTATTAAAATATTAAATTTGTTCCGGAGTTGCTTAACTATTACTATGTATAAATTCATGAAACCTAGGTATCAATTTGGAAACTTCATGAGAACATGATTGTTTGCTTTGTTTTTTACGGCTTGTCAACCTTTTGCAGGTTACCTTAAGCAAGAAAAATCTTTTAGATTCTAAGAATTTTTGTAAGGGGAAAATAATGGTTTAGTGATACAAGTCATACTAATTAACCCATAGCTGGTGGAGAAGATGTCAATTCCTACCTTTCCCAAGGTAAATGTTGCGCTTAAGTGAATATAAAGAGCTATTTATTACACCATCCGCACATCCAAGCTTACAGAACCTGGTATTCAGAAGCCGTCACCCATCTATCCATTAGAACAATTCTCATGTATATAATTATAGAAAAAGACATAGGGAAGCTACTTTAGGGCGGTGGCAAATGACAAAGGCCGATATGCCAGATCAGGTCTGATAACATTACATTCCTTTTACTTACCTGATGCAGGAGTTAACCATTGCCCATGAGGATTTCCTGAGGAGTGTTTATCGCCCCCCTGTGTTGTAAGTGGGGCTATGTTTCTCTTCATTTTAGATGGGAGAAGTTGCTCAGCCCTGGGGATTCCAACTCTGCAGCAGAACCTTCCTCGTTGTACTAAAGAAATTGGGTCGATATAATACCGGTGCCCGCGTGACAGTGGTCGCGGGGACTGGTCAAAAATTAATTTTTGTCCTTAACCAATACGCGTACGGGTGCTCCCAACGTTAAAAAGACCTTGTATCACATACAGCCTTGGTTGGGAGGCCTTGTAAATATATATGGCAGGAAATATTCAATCTGTCCTGGGTATGACGATAAACAACATCCGCGTCCACGGTAAGACGATAAACTACGTCCAACAGCAAGGCTTCTGATCAGGAGGCTTTGAGGAGCATGGAACCACCTCATAATTACTGGTGTTCCCAGGTCCACCCTGACTTGGGGTGGTAGCACCTGTTAGGGTCTCAGCTATGGGAAAATAGTTGACCTCGAAACAGACAAAAAAAAATTATGTAAGTGTAAAAATAGGTTTTAATACCAGAAATAGTTTGTAAAAAAAATATTACCAGAAATAAATTTTTGAAGAAAAAAATATTACCAGCAATACGTTTGTAAAAAATAAAAATATTACTAGCGATATGTTTTTGAAAAATACATATATTACCAGCAATACGTTTTTGAAAAATAAAAATATTACCAGCAATACAATTTTGAGGAAAAAATATTACCAGAAATAGATTTTTGACAAAATAAAATATTACCAGGATAAAAAGTTGTTGGCATTAAATGACCAATTGAGGTTGATATGCCGTAAAACAAACCAAACCAAACCAAATATTCAATACACGGACAGCTGATAGATTTATAAACATGCAAGATGGATTCTGCGGAGAAATATTGTCTTACAGAATACAGGGAATTAATTTTACTAGCAGTAAATTCATTCAATATAACCATTCCTCTTAAAATGCGTGTCTGCATGACTAAGTGAGTGTGAGATATACAGAAAGAGAAACATGTAAACAGGGAGATTAAATTGAGAAACTAATGCAGCAAAGTTGCACAACAAGTAATTAATTCGGCTGCAAATGAGAACCCAACGTTATTGTTTTACGAATTGGTTTACTTCTGATTGTAGTTCAATTTAGTAAAGTTCATAATGCAAAAGTATCGTGCGCATAGCGTAATGGATATTTGCAAAGAGATCGCTATCGTCGAACGGGGACCAAATTCTTAGCTAGTCTGCAGCTTTCACTTTTCAACAAATGAAAGATACGAATCAATCTTTTCGCCGTCAAGTTACTGGATAAATAACAGGGTATATTAGTGTTATATAGGAATAAAATGTCGCTACCGACACTTGAGTTTAAACATAGATCGCCAGTGAACAAACACAGGCGATCCCATTATTGAATTAAGTAGACCACGTGACCATAGAGGAAACGCTTATATGTGAGACGGCGTGACGTCTAATTGATCATCATTTCTAGTCTATCCTCTATTACTATACGGACCGCTATTCTCTACTCCATTCACTATACTATTACTCTTTTTTTCCACCGACCATATATATGTCACAATCTGTTATATAGGCGATCCCATCATTGAATTAAGTGGATCATGTGACCATAGAGGAAACGCATAAGTAGGAAGTCACGTGACGTCTAAATTGATCCCTAGTTCTAGTGTATCCTCTATACTAAACGGATCGCTATTTCTGTTCTATCCTCTATTCGGATCACCAGTTCGAATCTATCCTCTATTACTATACGGGCAGCTATTCTCTATATTATTTCTCTACACGGATTACTATTCGTGCGACTATTATCGAGCAAGTACTATTAGGGCGAGTGTTATTCGAAGGCGTCTGATACCAGTATTGTTCAACGGCATTGCTATAGTTGTATCTGCGATTACAAAGTCTCTACTACAACGAGCATTACGAAAGTGACAACGAGTATTCGTTGGCATCACAAAAATTGGGGTCTCTTGCTTTTGTTGGCAACCAGTATAACAGAAGAAAAACTCTGATATCCAAATCGTAGAGGAGAGAACTGAAACCCACTATCTTCCTCCAGACGATATGGCAATTCCTATATAATACAGAAAAAAATTCTGTGAAGTATGATCGACTAAGTCATATGGAAATGCGTCATTTAAAAAAAAAGCCCCTAAAGTTGTTATTAGCAAAGTTCGAAATTAAAAAGAGCCTAAAATGTAGTAAATTCAAAATTTTCTAGGGTCGTGCTTTCAGTATTTAGCACCTAAATAACAAATTAAGTTAGGTTACCCAGATCGCTATACAGGTATCCCTCGATTAATGCGCATTCGATTAGTGCGCTAAAATGCTGATATACCAAAATTCGATTAGTGCTTACATAATACTTGATTAGTAAAACATTCTTCAGTTTAACCACAGTAATTGAGAAATGATTGCTTTATAATTACCAATGTACACATTGAACGCACCAAACGAAGAATTTCTATAGACCCAAATGGATATCTTCCTGAAGGAGGCCGGGGAGCACAATGGTCGAAACGTCCAGGTAAAAACAACAATGATGAAGACAATAGTCCGAATATAAACATTATAAATAATAATAACTTTTCATCACAGAAATTCAGCAAAAAAAGAAAGAGAATGTACAAACCGTGAGAGAGAGAGAGAGAGAGAGAGAGAGAGAGAGAGTAAAAGAGAACAACGAGAGGATAATGTGAAACAGCCAAGAATAACATTAAAAAAACATTGTCTATATTTATGTAGGGAGAGGGAGAGAGTAAGAGGGCAGGGGGGGGAAGAAAAGAGCGGCAGACTGTTTGCATCATACTATATGCACACGTGATTATTAGAATAAATATGGAATTAAAGATAGTGAGTTAGCATGAGGTCTGAGCCGTGCGCTAATCTCTTAGTGCTTGTCGAACTCAGTCTTCGTACAGGGAGGAAGTTAGACAAACCCAACCCTTTTATTACCGGGACTACGAAGAAATTTTGCCCGGGCCTACGATTCGGAAAAAAAAAACCCCGTTAAACCGGTTTTGTGACACATCCAGCTCTTAGTGCTTGATGAACTCTCTGCCTTCGGGCAGAGATGAAACCAGACGAGGCTATGTCGAAAGGCAGGGTCTTGTCTGGGGAGGTAGACAAACCCGTCCCCTTTATTACGGGGTCTACGGAGAAATTTTCCCGTGGCCTACGGGCTCGGAAAAAAAAATCACTTTAAACCCGCCTTGTGCTACACCCTACTCTGGTGTGCTCAGGTCAATACTGAGTTAATAATAGTGAGTGTGTGTTTAAATGAAGAGAAGGAAAGGACATACATTTTGAGATATTATTCCCCCACAGAGATTTATTAACATATCAAAACGAGAAATCTATAGAGAATATGGTGGAGAGGATGTGCTTTTATTTGCGTAGAGAGAGAAAGAGAGAGAGAGAGAGGTGGGGAATAGTGGGAGATATTATGTGTGCCTGTGTATTCAATCAAATAAACATGCGTCTCTAAGAAAATAAAAGCCATAGAGAAATATGTCTTTGTACAGAACAAGTTTACCCGACCTGGGCGATATTGTTCACCGGTGGCCGATTTCTACTCTTGGGTGGGCGATGAACAACTGATAACAACATGGCGGGCTATTTGAAGATTTGGTAGCGATATATGATTTTGAGTATTAAAAATATATTTCAACATATGCTACCCGAAAAAATATTCATAGGTCATATGCAAAGAAACTGTATAAAAATGTATAATAAACAGGTGGCTTAATGGGTATAATTGCGTCAAATTCCAAGATAAGCTATACATATCCTTGCAAACAAGAAATATTTGGGAAATTTCGATATTTTAAGAAGGATCATAAACTTTTAAATAGGTCTTCAGGCGATATAGAATTTTTTCGGGTATAAATCTGATAAGTGAAAGCCAATACATACATACATATATATATATATATATATATATATATATATATATATATATATATATATAGGTAACTCTACTGATTCGAAAAAACTTCTGAATTTTGATTTGCCAATAATCACATCAATCTCGAAGGAAAAAAGGTTTTAAAAAAGAAAGAGCTAGAAACATGAAAGTCTGTCGAAAAAAATCGCACAGATACAGGTTCGAAGCCCAAAGAAAAAAACCCCGACACGAGTAAACAACTAACTAACAAAAGAGCTCAATACAACCGTAGAGCAGACCTAGTCAAACCTAGTGAGCCAGACAAACCTACAAAGGTTTGTCTGGCTAACTAGGTTTATATATATATATATATATATATATATATATATAAATGCATGTTTGATTAAATAATAAATCAAGTTCTGTCTTAATTTTAAGCAAATTCTTCTTATAAGCTTAATAACATTATTGAAAGACGAAAGAAAATCACAATATTGAAACATATTTTTTTATTCTATCTAAGCTTTCCGCTTACATAAGCCATTATCAGAGATGATAAATACATTACAATAAATTAAACAATACACGGACATAGCAACAATTATAGTCTGTTTAGTTTGCATGGAAGATTTCCAAGCAACGACAAATTCATGCATACGAGACGCTGGAAGCGAAAATCGCACCGCAGCCCATGACATCACACATGACCACGCGAGAGTGCAAACGAGAAGTGTTAACTATGGGAAGCTGTTGGTATAAACCAGTGGCTTCTGTTATCAATTATAGGCATTTAAGTATATTTGAGGATTTTTTACATAGTTTATATATATATATATATATATATATATATATATATATATATATATATATATATTTTTATATTTGAGAAAAATGTATATTCTTTTTAATTTATAATTATGAATAAAAATCATTTCATTTTTTTCAATACTTGCAACGATAACTCTAACCATTAAACTAACCTTGACCATAAAACTAAATTATATCTATAGATTTCTACGGTCAAATTTTCTTAGTTTATTCTTTAATAAGGCAGTAGCAGCAGTGGCAACAGCATAAGTCAGCATTATTTGTTATCTCCCTTTAGTATGTTTTTGCTACTACATATATTCAGTTTATGAACCAGTAACAAACTTTTACCAAACAATTTTGGTATGCGTTTGAATATTTACATAAGAGGGGGTTGGAAGTTTTTTTTTCTATGCGAAAATGGTAATGACGCAAGAAAAGTGCGGGAACTCCTGGTTGAAAAAGAAAGAAAGAAAGAGAGACAGGGATATCGTGTGTACATATGTGATAATTACATTTTAATTATCATATATATACACATATGTTAATTATTAAAATGAAAAGTGTGTAAAGCTTAATGAGAGAGAGAGAGAGAGAGAGAGAGAGAGAGAGAGAGAATGTGATACTGTTTAAAATATTTTACGAGAGCACATGTTTATGTTAAAATGAGATGATCTATAGAATAAGAACGATAGAGAGAGTGGGTTTATAGAGAGAAAAAAGTGGGGGACTTATTGAGATATTGTGAGTGCACGCCGTTTGACTTAAATCTCAAAAAGAGAATGTGCGCGAAACAGAGAGTTTGCATCCTTGCATCACGCGAGATGAGACTAATTGAGATATTGTGAGTGTACAACTGCTTATTTAGAAAGAGAAGGTGCGAGAGAAAAGAAAGTGCGTTCGCCTTTGTGTATCAAGAGAATGAGAGACTCATTGAGATATTATGAAGGCCCAACAGTTGATTGAAATGTCAAAAGGAAAGACCGCGCTTTCACGTATGCTTGAGAGAGTGAGAGAGAGAGAGAGGGGGTGGAGAGAGAACAAAAAAGATGGCGTGTCCTTGATTAGAGAATCAGAAATTTATACTTAGAAATTATGCGTGAACATTTTTTTATCAGACTAGAATACGCTAGAGCCGGGGTCGGCAACTAACGGCACGCGTGCCAAAAGTGGCACGCCAAGCAATTTCCAATGGCACTCTCCAGCAAATGACATCACGAAGTCTGAACCAATAACTACTACAACACAAAGAAGATATTTAGCTGTTTCAATTTTAATATATACTAAAGTATATATGCTATATATTACTATATAAAATATATTGTAGAACAGGTATATTGACCTTGGCTTGTATAAAAATACGGATGCTGTTGGCAGACTGAATGATTTTAAACCCGTAAGGCGGCACATAATCAACAAAAGGTTGCCGACATGTTCTACGGCATCCAATAAAAAGAAAGACTCAAAACATCGAATATATTATTATACAAAATAAACAGTCAACATTAAATAAAATATCATTCACCACAGGATACGTTTTCCAGAAGAGAATATGATATGATTAAAATTGTTCTATCTATCTATCTATCTATCTATCTATCTACCCCTGCTCAACAGCACCCAAAGCAAGAAAAGACTCAAACCCTAGAAGGTATTATACATAATAAAAAGTCTATAATAAATAAAACGATGAGAATTTTTAATTTCAAAATATTTTCTTAATATACGTTTTGTGTCTATAATCTAGCCTATTTCATTAAGATTCTTTTACTTTACGTTTCCATCACTTTTGTTATTATATATCTCATATTTTCATAGAAGAATAAAAAACAATAAAAAAAACTTTTCACACTTTATCATCATAATTCGTCCTCCAAAATTGCTTTATATATATATATATATATATATATATATATATATATATATATATATATATATTAGGTAATTGAATGACAAGATGGAAAATTTTCTATATTACTATAAAAAAAATCTATATTTTGTCCTTCAAAAAAGACCATTCAGAATAAATGTTTTTTATCGACAGAATCATGTACGCTATAACAGGGGCCGGTAATCGAGTTAGCAAAAGGTTGCCGAGCTCTGCGCTAGAGTCAGCAAGAATTCTTCTGCGTCCTTGTGTAAGGAGAGTGGAAGGAGAGACAGATAGATATACTGTGGACAAAAAAATTAAAATGTCAACACAAGAAGGCGGACGAGTTTTACGTGTGTATGTGTGTGTTGTGTGTGTGTGTGTTGTGTGTGTTTGCTTTGAAAGAGAGAGATTGAGAGAGATAGAGAGAGGAAGAGAAAGCTGTTAAGACTGTGCACATGTGTTTATGAAAATGTCAAAAAGGGAATAGCGATAGAATTTGAGAGAATGATAGAATATATTTCATTGTGTGTGGGGGGAGGATGCTGATTAAAATACTGCGTATGTGCACATGTTTATTAAAATGCAAATAAGACATTATGATTAAAACACAGAGATCAGTTTTTGCTTTGATTTTTTACGGCTTATCAACCCCCACGCGGGTTATTTTTTTAATCTTTTTAAAAATCACACCAATCAAGGCGATAAAGCCACTAAGACACAAATGGTTACTGATTGTGAAAGAATAAGAAAAAGAAAAACGTTATTAAGGAATGAGAACAATAAGGACAGACGAATGAAGATAAATTTGTTTTTACGGCTTATCAACCCTTTGCAGGCTATTTAAAGCCAAATATATTTTTAGATTGTTAGAAAAATGTTTGCGATTATAATGATTTAGTCATACAACTCGTACTAATTAACCCATAGATAGAGGGAGAAAAGGTGGTTTCATAGCTTTCCTAAAGATATTTGCGTGTAAGTGAATCGATTGGTTTTGGAACTCGGCTCACCGATTTCAAATTCTGAGCCGTTATCCACTTACATCTCCCACACATCCAAGCTTACAAGACCTGTATTCCCAAGTGTTTACCCATCTAGGTAATGACTAGGCTCGACGTTGCTTAGCTTCGGTGATCATACGAGTTACGGTGTTTCAGTGGGATTAGGCCGTAAGCCGGGATCAAGAAGACAATAGACAATGATGAAACATTTTGGATGAATATTTTTGCGCGTAACTATTGCATCAACATTATTTTGAGAATTACAATAATTTTTAAATATACAAATTTTACTATTTAACTCATATTTCTGAGGAAGAGCTGCATTCATATCTTTCCCAAGGTTATTTACGCATAACTGAATACAATGAACCCAACTGAAATTTGATCTCAGATCTCCAATTAATCCCTCTGAGCACATATCCATTACACCAGCTGCACACCTTCAGTAAAACGGAGATGGATAGAGAGTTAATGTGTCTTCGCGTTAAGAAAATGAAAAAAGCGATTGACTGAGATATTGTGAATAAACACCTGTTGATTAAAATATTATAACACGAAGACATTGTAAGTGATACAGGTAATATGTGTGCCTGGGTAGGGTGAAACGAAGAAGAGAGTACACATCTATTGATTAAAATGTGGGAGAAAATTCACCTCCTTTGCTATACAGGCTGTCCATAAAGTTCGTGTGCACTTTAAAAAATTTATAACTTTATTTGTATTTGCGATATCAATAATTTGTAAAAAGGATTAGAAAGAAGTAAATCTATATTTTTAAGTTTTTATTGAAATTTTATTTAAGTTTCCGCATGTCCTTCATCATTAGCAATACAAAGGGTAATACGATTTTGCAGTTCACGGAAAATATTTGCCAATTGATTTACAGTAATGCCTGAAATCACATTAGTTATTTTTTGTAATGAATTGGATCGCGATTACGATGCCAGTGTAATAAATTATAACCGTGGAATATTAGTGTTTGAACCTTATATATATATATACACTTACAGAACAGACCAATTGGTCTGTTCTGTAAGTGTTATCATCTCTTATTTTTTTAATTTGTATCTATTCCTTGCAATATATATATATATATATATATATATACAGGTGTCCATAAAGTTAGTGTGCACTTTAACATTTATAACTTTATTTGTATTTGTGATAGAAATAATCTGTAAAAAATGTTATAAAGTTTAATGTACCTAGTTTTAAGTATAGCTAAAATAACTAATGTAATTTCAAGCATTATTGTAAATCAGTTGGCAAATATTTTCCGTGAACGGCAAAATCGTATTACCCTTTGTGACGTCGTCCCCCGGTCGCAGCGCCGACTGTGACGTTCTATCCTGATCTACCACGGCGCCAGTTGTGACGTGGCCGTTCCAGGGTCCTATCCCGGTCACGACACCAGTTGTGACGTCCCTAAACAGCACCAATTGACGTCTTCGCCTCGGCGCCAGCTGTTCGCTCCTCGCTGCTCCGTCCGGGTGTCGCTGCTCCAAACGTGACGTTCGCCTGTCGCGTCAGTCGTGTTGTCTCGTACTGTGACGACCAACTGGCTTGGTATCGGTCGCGGCACCCAAATGACGTTCTAACCTTTTGGAGATTCGGGTGGAATCTGGTTAGATTTGATATCAGCCTCGCCGTTCCCAACTCGCTTCCAACGCCTGGTTACCAAAGAAACTGCACTGATCTCCAGTCTGCCTACCCACGTTGTGAATTGATTTTAGACAGACGAGATCAAACAGGGTTGGGCCGTAATGCAAATTGAGTTCAACGGGCCTGATAACACACAAATATGCATAAAAGAAAATAAAATGAAAACTCAAAAAGTTCAAAGTATCAAAGAAAAAGGTAACAAACTTTATGTCTAGTTGTTCGATACATAGGACTGCATCCATCTCCCGACCCGTTCTGTGGATTGTGACACGTCGCTTTCGCTAGGCAAGTTTTAACGCTTCAAGTTGTCTGCTCTCTAAGAAATTTGTGTTTCGGTGTGTCTTTGGACGAAAATCGAAAAACTTATTTCTGTGGTCTGGTTCTAAGACGCTCTTCAAAATAATTGTTCTTGGTTGAAGAGGAGTCCAAAATTTTGCGTGAATCTTGGTCAGCTATCTTGGTCTATCATCTCTGCCCGCCAGGGTCCGAACGAACTACTGCCCGACTGAACTCGGCACTCAGGGCCAAACGAACTCTTCTCTGCCCGCCTGGGTCCGACTGAACTTATTTCTGTCTGTTGGGGCTTCGTTTTTATTGACGCCGACCAAAACCGGGGTGGGTCTGTTGGCGTCGGCGGTTCTTCGATAATTCTAAATACATATCCACCTTTTTTTATTTCTGGTTAGGATTTTCCACCTTTTCTATTTTTGCAACTTTTTTCTCACTCCCCACTTTCTCACCATGCTTCTGAGGGCGTGAACTGCCCTCCCCACTTCTTCGTAGCGGCTTCTCATACTTATACTCTGGATAGGGGCGTCGACAGTCTTCTTCGTGCGTCACGTGACCACTCTCGGCCAATGAGGTCTTGGTCGGGTATCTTTCCTCCTCCTTCGTGCGTCATGTGATCACCACTTGGCCAATGACGTCTTAGTCGGGCGTGAACAACCCGCGGCTTTGTTTTTTGAAAAGAAATATACCTTGCTTAACTAAAAAATTAATGATCTCTCCTCTTTTTTTTTTTTTTCTTTCAAATCGCCGTTATCATGAACGGATAATGTGACAACTCTTTATTCAACACGTGGCGTTTGTCAAGCAGTTTATCGGTAATGCATCAGACGGCTGGATTTTCCGACATGGTCTAAGAAAGGAATTTTCTCCAAGTTCTCAGCCAGTCTGACGTCTCCGAGGCAGCAATAAAAACATTTCATTTTCCTTCGGTTCATGTGTCTGATAACAAAATTTTATTATGGCAGGGCAAAAGTCTGTTTGTCGAAAAAAAGCTTAACTAGTGAAACTACTTGTGTGGGATTTTAATTTTCCATACCCAGCGAAGGCTCCAAGCTACACCTGTGTTTTGTCAATTATCAAAATCTAACGTCTTCAAGTGGACTTTCTTTGGTGAACATTTCTTGATAACACAATTCCATTCGCGCGGACAAGTGGAGAAATCGGTCAATGCTTGTTCGCAGGTGACCTTTAATTTTGATAGTAAGATGTTTTCTCGTACCAATAGTTTAGATAACACTTCCCTACCCACTCAATCTCATTGTCATTGTAATGACATTCTTTTCGCCATTTGACACTTATCTAAAATAACCCTTTTCTTTTTTATTGCCTCTTAAGCCGTGTGTGTGTGTTCGCCTATGACCCGTCTCGCATTACTTTTTCCTTTTCCCTTTCTTCTTTTTCTTTCTTTCAAATCGCCTGGATGCATGGTGCCACACCTTTGTATTGCTAATGATGGAGGACATGCGGAAACTTAAATAAAATTTCAATAAAACCTTAAAAAATATAGAATTACTTCTTTCTAATCCTTTTTACAAATTATTTCTATCGCAAATCCAAATAAAGTTATAAATTTTTTAAAGTGCACACGAACTTTATTGACACCCTGTACTTACTACCCTCTTACATACCTTTCTACTATTTTATCTTAGACGATGATTCTTAAAATGTCTTTTGTACATATATAATACTAGTAATAGATAAATTGATTTATATCCATACTTATTCTACAAGTTATACAGTCCGACCATAGATCAAAATTTGCTCATAAATGTTATAATAATATCCCATACATTTATATACCTTTCTACTTATAACTTAAATTCTGAACGAAAACTTGTTGTTTTAAAAGAACCCAAATAACTTATATATTCAATATACCAAGAAAAAATCTCCACATCTTAATTTATTAATTAACAAAATACATTCATTGATTACAAAACTAGTAGCAATAATTCCAGTTTAAATATTACGCTATTCATCTCTGTCTTCGTTTGAAAGTTACCAAAAGCATTTACAATTACTACTATAACCATCGTTTGAACTTATCCCTACTTCCTCTTTCATCGTCTAACTCTCCCTATTCACATCTTTCCTCTGCCATCCCTTGCTCTTAGGAAGATTACATATATAATGCCTAAACCTTTGGACGTAGTTGTCGATTAAAAAGTTTTTTTCGTGTCGAGTCATCACTTTAACACCTCAACAATCCTTCAACAAACTGATAAAAACAAACACTATTGTTTCACACTGTCACCCTTTTGCCTCTCCTATTTTTCTTTATCCTTATACGTCCCCTCTTAAGATGTACCTTTTTTTTTCAAACAAATATTAAAAAAAAGGAGGTGATGTTCCACGTGCGGCCTACTTACAAACAAAATTGTTCGTAACCATTTTGTTTCTCACCAGACGAGATGCAACTAAATGCACCGAAACGAAGTTGCCTCTTTGTCGTGAGTAAATTGTTTTTGTCTATATAACAAAATTATAATATATATATATATATATATATATATATATATATATATATATATATATATATATATCAAGAATGAAAGACTTAACACATCATCGTAGAATTCGGTAACAAATTTATTTCAACAGATAAGTTTTAAACATCTGGCTCATTAGACCGAAATTACAAAATGGTTTAAATTTATCCAAACAATATATTAAAAATAATTTTTAAATTAAATCCCACACACACACACACACACACACACACACACACACACACACACACACACACACACATATATATGTATATATATATATATCAAGAATGGAAAAACTACGCACACCATCGTAGAATTCGGTAACAAATTTATTTCAACAGAGCGAAATTAGAAATTACAAAATGGTTTAAATTTATCCAAAACTATATATTAAAAATTATTTTTAAATTAAATCACACACACACACACACACACACACACACACACACACACACACACACACACACACACATATATATATATATATATATATATATATATTTTATCAGATCCGTAAGTCGAAAGGATAATCAATGATGGTCTTTTTTAATGTAAAATATGAAAAATATAGATCCATAAAAAGAACTCAATGTAGTGTATACAGAGCAATATACATGACAGGAAAAAACTTAACACATCAAGAAAAATGAGATAATAATTTTATGTAAGCAGTTAAGTTTTTAATATCTGCCTCATCAGACCGGAATTACAAAATTCATTATCGGATTTTTCGTGATGTGCAAATTTTTTCATTTGATATATATATATATATATATATATATATATTAAATAAAACAGACCAATTTAAGGTTCCATGTAATAAATTATTTCACCACAGCCCTTTTAAAGGACTGCGGTTCATCAGACGTTACTTCCAAAGGTTGAAACCAATATATATATATATATATATATATATATATATATATATATATATATATATATATGTGTGTGTGTGTGTATTTCCTGGTAAGATGTGTAAAGATGTAATATTCTAAAATAAAGTATATAATGACAAGATTACTTCTAAATATCAATTTTATCCCCACATCGATGTTTCTTAGTAAAGACGTTGTGGTTTTGAACGGTAATTCCATTTTTTCAATTTTATCAATTTATTATAATAGAAAACTTATATATATATATATATATATATATATATATATATATATATATATATATATATTGTCTTTAGATATATCAGAACATTGGAAAATTAATAACAATGTGAAAAAGAATTTCATATGACACATTTCATTCTTTTGGAATTCATCGAACTAAAGTGAGGTTTTCTTTGATGGAACTAAAAGAGGGGGGCACTGAAATCTTTATGTTTTAAATCTAATTTTTTAATGTGTTTGGTTATATATTTTAGCCAATTTTATTGTGTTTTTTATTGTTTTATTTTATGTTTTTATCACATTTCTTATTACGTATTACAGTAATTTTGCGCCCAGAATTTTACAACGAAACAGATCTTCTGTTATCACAATGTGGGATATTTAATAAGGAAAATGATAAAAAAAAAAACATAAAAAGAAACTAAATGAAATTGGCTAGACCATATAGCCAAACAAATATTTAAAAAAAAATGGATTTAAATTTTCAAATCTCAGCGTCTCGATCCTTAGTGCGCATGTGTAGCTGCATCAGCGTAAACATCACTTTAGTCCGATGAATTTCTAAAGGACGAAAAGCATGATAGGAAAAAAAATCCAGTTTGTCATTAATTGATTAAAATGTCAAAACGAGATGTTGCGAGATACGTAGCAAATGAGAGAGAGAGAGAGAGAGAGAGAGAGGGAGAGTATGTATGTTTGTGTGTATATGTGTGTGTCCTTGGATAGAAAAAGAAGAGAGAAAAACTGATTGAAAGATTGTGAGTACACAATTGTTGATTAAAATCTCCAAACCAAAAAACACGGGAGACAGAAAGAGTGTCAAAAAAAGCCCTTACCCAAAGTGAGAGAGAGAGAGAGAGAGAGAGAGAGAGAGAGAGAGAGAGAGATCGAAACCAGAAAGCACTAGACAGAGAAAGAGTGTCAGAAAAAGTCCTTAGACACACACACAGAGAGAGAGAGAGAGAGAGAGAGAGAGAGAGAGAGAGAGAGAGAGAGATCCAAACCAGAAAGCACTAGACAGAGAAAGAGTGTCAGAAAAAGTCCATACACAGAGAGAGAGAGAGAGAGAGAGAGAGAGAGAGAGATAGAGAGAGAGAGGGGGGGGGGGGGAGAGCCAAACTAGAAAGCACGAGGGACAGAAAGAGTGTCAGAAACGGACCTTACGCAAAAAGAGAGAAAGAAACAGAGAGAGACAGAGCGAGAGAGAAAGAGAGAGAGGGGGGAGAGAGAGAGAAAGAAAGTGAAAGAGAAAGCTTATTGCGTGTGGACAAATATAAGTTAAAATGGCAAAACCGGAATGCGAGAGAGACCGACATGGGAGTTTTGTGTCCTTGTGTACAGGAACAGGAAGTAGGTACAGTTTGAAACCTTGTGTTTGCTTACTTTATTTTGTGCTAATATCGAAACGTGGTTACGTCATATCACGTTGAAACACCGGTTCCCGTACGATCACCGCCATTAATAAACATCGAACCTGGCAAGTATCTCGATAGCTGATCGCTTAGGAATGCCAGGTGCTAATCGCTTGGGAATGTCAGGTTCTGATCGCTTGGGGATGTGAGATGCTGATCGCTTAGGAATGCCAGGTGCTGATCGCTTGGGAATGTCAGGTGCTAATCGCTTAGGAATGCCAGGTGCTGATTGCTTGGGAATGTCAGGTGTTGATCGCTTGGGAATGCCAGGTGTTGATCGCTTGAAAATGTCATGTGCTGATTGCTTGGGAAAGTCAGGTGCTGATTGCTTAGGAATGCCAGGTGCTGATTGCTTGAGAATGTCAGGTGCTGATCGCTTGGGAATGCCAGGTGTTGATCGCTTGGGAATGCCAGGTGCTGATCGCTTGGGAATGCCAGGTGCTGATCGCTTGGAAATGCCAGGTGTTAATCGCTTGGAAATGCCAGGAGTTGATCGCTTGGAAATGCCAGGTGTTGATCGCTTGGAAATGCCAGGAGTTGATCGATTGGGAATACCATGTGCTGATTGCTTAGGAATGTCAGTTGCTGATTGCTTGAGAATGTCAGGTGGTGATCTCTTGGAAATGCCAGGTGCTGATCGCTTGGGAATGTCAGGTGTTGATCGCTTGGGAATGTCAGGTGCTGATCGCTTGGGAAATGTCAGGTGTTGATCGCTTGGGAATGTCATGTGGATCGTCAGGGAATGCCAGGTGTTGATCGCTTAGGGTGCTGAAAATGCCAGGTGTTGATCGCTTGGGAATGTCAGGTGTTGATCGCTTAGGAATGCCAGGTGCTGGTCGCTTGGGAATGCCAGGTGTTGATCGCTTGGGAATGCCAGGTGCTGATCGCTTGGGAAATGCCAGGTGTTGATCCAGGTGTTGATCGCTTAGGAATGCCAGGTGCTGATCGCTTGGGAAATGTCAGGTGTGATCCAGGTGTTGATCGCTTGGAAATGCCAGGTGCTGATTGCGGGAACGTCAGGCGTTGATCGCGTTGAAAATGCCAGGTGTTGATCGCTTGGGGAATGCCAGGTGTTGATCGCTTGGGAATACCATGTGCTGATTGCTTAGGAATGCCAGGTGTCGCTTAGTTGCTGATTGCTTGAGAATGTCAGGTGCTGATGGTGGTGATCTCTTGGGAATGCCAGGTGCTGATCGCTTGGGGAATGTCAGGTGTTGATCGCTTGGGAATGTCAGGTGCTGATCGCTTGGGAATGTCAGGTGTTGATCGCTTGGGAATGCCAGGTGTTGATCGCTTAGGAATGCCAGGTGCTGATTGCTTAGGAATGTCAGGTGTTGATCGCTTGGGAATGCCAGGTGTTGATCGCTTGGGAATGTCATCGCTGTTGATCGGAATGCCAGGTGTTGATCGCTTGGGAATGCCAGGTGTTGATCGCTTGGGAATGCCAGGTGCTGGTCGCTTGGGAATGCCAGGTGTTGATCGCTTGGGAATGCCAGGTGCTGATCGTGCTTGGGAATGCCAGGTGTTGATCGCTTGGGAATGCCAGGTGCTGGTCGCTTAGAATGCCAGGTGTTGATCGCTTGGGAATGCCAGGTGCTGGTCGCTTGGGAATGCCAGGTGCTGGTCGCTTGGGAATGTCAGGTGCTGGTCGCTTGGGAATGCCAGCTGCTGATCGCTTGGGAATGTCAGGTGCTGGTCGCTTGGGAATGTCAGGTGTTGATCGCTTGGTAACTTGTAGATCGCTTGGGAATGCCAGGTGTTGATCGCGCTTGGGAATGTCAGGTGTTGATCGCTTGGGAATGCCAGGTGCTGGTCGCTTGGGAATGCCAGGTGTAGGTCGCTTGGGAATGCCAGGTGCTGGTCGCTTGGGAATGTCAGGTGCTGGTCGCTTGGGAATGTCAGGTGTAGATCGCTTGGGAATGCCAGGTGTTGACCGCTTGGGAATGCCAGGTGCTGGTCGCTTTGGGAATGCCAGGTGTTGATCGCTTGGGAATGCCAGGGTCGCTTGATCAGGTGTTGATCGCTTGGGAATGCCAGGTGCTGGTCGCTTGGGAATGTCAGGTGCTGGTCGCTTGGGAATGCCAGGTGTTGATCGCTTGGGAATGCCAGGTGTTCGATCCAGCTTCGCTTGGGAATGCCAGGTGCTGATTGGGAAGAATGTCAGGTGCTGGGAATCGCTTGGGAATGCCAGGTGTTGATCGCTTGGGAATGCCAGGTGTTGATCGCTTGGGAATGCCAGGTGCTGGTCGCTTGGGAATGCCAGGTGTTGATCGCTTGGGAATGCCAGGTGCTGGTCGCTTGGGAATGCCAGGTGCTGGTCGCTTGGGAATGTCAGGTGCTGGTCGCTTGGGAAATGCCAGGTGTTGATCGCCAGGTGTAGATCGCTTGGGAATGGAATGCCAGGTGCTGGTCGCTTGGGAATGCCAGGTGTTGATCGCTTGGGAATGCCAGGTGTTGATCGGTGCTTCGGGGAATGCCAGGTGTTGATCGCTTGGGAATGCCAGGTGCTGGTCGCTTGGGAATGCCAGGTGTAGATCGCTTGGGAATGCCAGGTGCTGGTCGCTTGGGAATGTCAGGTGCTGGTCGCTTGGGAATGCCAGGTGTTGATCGCTTGGGAATGCCAGGTGCTGGTCGCTTTGGAATGCCAGGTGTTGATCGCTTGGGAATGCCAGGTGTTGATCGCTTGGGAATGCCAGGTGCTGGTCGCTTTGGGAATGCCAGGTGTTGATCGCTTGGGAATGGTGCTGGTCAGGTGCTGGTCGCTTGGGAATGTCAGGTGCTGGTCGGTGCTGGGAATGCCAGGTGTTGATCGGTGCTGGGAATGCCAGGTGCTGGTCGCTTGGGAATGCCAGGTGTTGATCGCTTTGGGAATGCCAGGTGCTGGTCGCTTGGGAATGCCAGGTGCTGGTCGCGCTTGGGAATGTCAGGTGCTGGTCGCTTGGGAATGCCAGGTGTTGATCGCTTGGGAATGCCAGGTGCTGGTCGCTTGGGAATGTCAGGTGTTGATCGCTTGGAAATGCCAGGTGTTGATCGCTTGGGAATGTCAGGTGTAGATCGGTGCCAGGTGCTGATCGCTTGGGAATGCCAGGTGCTGGTCGCTTGGGAATGAATCGCCAGGTGTAGATCGTTTGGGGATGCCAGGTGCTGGTCGCTTGGGAAAGGTGCTGGTCGCTTGGGAATGTCAGGTGGGAATGTCAGGTGCTGGTCGCTTGGGAATGCCAGGTGTTGATCGCTTGGGAATGCCAGGTGCTGGTCGCTTGGGAATGCCAGGTGCTTGATCGCTTGGGAATGCCAGGTGTGCTGGTCGCTTGGGAATGCCAGGTGTTGATCGCTTGGGAATGCCAGGTGCTGGTCGCTTGGGAATGCCAGGTGCTGGTCGCTTGGGAATGCCAGGTGTTGATCGCTTGGGAATGTCAGGTGTTGATCGCTTGGGAATGCCAGGTGCTGGATCGCTTGGGAATGTCAGGTGCTGGATCGCTTGGGAATGTGTTGGTCGCTTGGGAATGTCAGGTGTTGATCGCTTGGGAATGCCAGGTGTGGTCGCTGGGAATCAGGTGTTGATCGCTTGGGAATGTCAGGTGCTGGGAAATGCCAGGTGCTGGTCGCTGAATCCAGGTGTTGATCGCTTGGGAATGCCAGGTGTTGATCGCTTGGGAATGCCAGGTGCTGGTCGCTTGGGAATGCCAGGTGCTGATCGCTTGGGAATGCCAGGTGCTGGTCGCTTTGGGAATGTCAGGTGCTGGTCGCTTGGGAATGCCAGGTGTTGATCGGAATGCCAGGTGCCAGGTGGTCGCTTGGGAATGTCCAGGTGCTGGTCGCTTGGGAATGCCAGGTGCTGGATCGCTTGGGAATGCCAGGTGTTGATCGCTTTGGGAATGTGTTGGTGTTGAATGTCAGGTGTTGGTCGCTTGGGAATGCCAGGTGTTGGTCGCTTGGGAATGCCAGGTGTTGATCGCTTGGGAATGCCAGGTGCTGGTCGGCTGGTCTTCGCTTGGGAATGCCAGGTGCTGGTCGCTTGGGAATGCCAGGTGCTGATCGCTTGGGAAATGCCAGGCTGGTCGTTGGTCGGTGCTGGTCGCTTGGGAATGCCAGGTGCTGATCGCTTGGGAATGCCAGGTGTTGATCGCTTGGGAATGCCAGGTGCTGGTCGCTTGGGAATGCCAGGTGTTGGTCGCTTGGGAATGCCAGGTGCTGATCGCTTGGGAAATGCCAGGTGCTGGTCGTTGGGAAATGCCAGGTGTTGATCGCTTGGGAATGCCAGGTGCTGATCGCTTGGGAATGTCAGGTGCTGGTCGCTTGGGAATGTCAGGTGTTGATCGCTTGGGAATGTCAGGTGTTGATCGCTTGGGAATGGTAATGTCAGGTGTAGGTCGGTCGCTTTGGGAATGTCAGGTGCTGGTCGCTTGGGAATGTCAGGTGTTGATCGCTTGGGAATGCCAGGTGTTGGTCGCTTGGGAATGCCAGGTGCTGGTCGCTTGGGAATGCCAGGTGCTGGTCGCTTGGGAATGTCAGGTGCTGGTCGCTTGGGAATGTCATGTGTTGATCGCTTGGGAATGCCAGGTGTTCGCTTGATCGGTGCTGGTCGGGGAATGCCAGGTGCTGCTCGCTTGGGAATGCCAGGTGTTGATCGCTTGGGAATGCCAGGTGCTGGTCGCTTGGGAATGTCAGGTGTAGATCGCTTGGGAATGCCAGGTGTTGACCGCTTGGGAATGCCAGGTGCTGGTCGCTTGGGAATGCCAGGTGCTGGTCGCTTGGGAATGTCATGTTTTGATCGCTTGGGAATGCCAGGTGCTGGATCGCTTGGGAATGCCAGGTGCTGGTCGCTTGGGAATGTCAGGTGCTGGTCGCTTGGGAATGCCAGGTGCTGATCGCTTGGGAATGCCAGGTGCTGGTCGCTTGGGAATGCCAGGTGCTGGTCGCTTGGGAATGTCAGGTGTTGATCGCTTGGGAATGCCAGGTGTTGGTCGCTTGGGAATGTCAGGTGTAGATCGCTTGGGAATGTCAGGTGCTGGTCAGGTGCTGGTCGGGGAATGCCAGGTGCTGGTCGATCGCTGGTCGCTTGGGAATGTCAGGTGTAGATCGCTTGGGAATGCCAGGTGCTGGTCGCTTGGGAATGCCAGGTGTTGATCGCTTGGGAATGCCAGGTGCTGGTCGCTTGGGAATGCCATGTCGTTTGGGAATGCTGGTCGCTTGGGAATGCCAGGTGTTGATCGCTTGGGAATGTCAGGTGTTGAATCGGTGTTGGGGGGAATGCCAGGTGCTGGTCGCTTGGAATGTCAGGTGCTGGTCGCTTGGGAATGCCAGGTGCTGGTCGCTTGGGAATGTCAATGCCAGGTGCTGGTCGCTTGGGAATGCCAGGTGCTGGTCGCTTGGGAAATGTCAGGTGTTGATCGCTTGGGAATGCCAGGTGCTGGTCGCTTGGGAATGCCAGGTGCTGGTCGCTTGGGAATGTCAGGTGCTGGTCGCTTGGGAATGCCAGGTGTTGATCGCTTGGGAATGTCAGGTGTTGATCGCTTGGTAATGTCAGGTGTAGATCAGGTTGGGAAATGCCAGGTGCTGGTCGCTTGGGAAATGCCAGGTGCTGGTCGCTTGGGAATGTCAGGTGTTGATCGCTTGGGAATGCCAGGTGCTGGTCGCTTGGGAATGCCAGGTGTTGATCGCTTGGGAATGCCAGGTGCTGGTCGCTTGGGAATGTCAGGTGCTGGTCGCTTGGGAATGCCAGGTGTTGATCGCTTGGGAATGTCAGGTGTTGATCGCTTGGTAATGTCAGGTGTAGATCGCTTGGGAATGCCAGGTGCTGGTCGCTTGGGAATGCCAGGTGCTGGTCGCTTGGGAATGTCAGGTGTTGATCGCTTGGGAATGCCAGGTGCTGGTCGCTTGGGAATGCCAGGTGTAGATCGCTTGGGAATGCCAGGTGCTGGTGCGGTCGCTGGGAATGCTAGCCAGGTGCTGGTCGCTTGGGAATGTCAGGTGTTGATCGCTTGGGAATGCCAGGTGGTGCTGGTCGCTTGGGAATGCCAGGTGTTGATCGCTTGGGAATGCCAGGTGCTGGTCGCTTGGGAATGTCAGGATCGCTTGGGAAATGCCAGGTGCTGGTCGCTTGGGAATGTCAGGTGTTGATCGGTGCTGGTCGCTTGGGAATGCCAGGTGCTGGTCGCTTGGGGAATGTCAGGTGTAGATCGCTTGGGAATGCCAGGTGCTGGTCGCTTGGGAATGCCAGGTGCTGGTCGCTTGGGAATGTCGGAATGTCAGGTGTTGATCGCTTGGGAATGCCAGGTGCTGGTCGCTTGGGAATGCCAGGTGCTGATCGCTTGGGAATGCCAGGTGCTGGTCGCTTGGGAATGTCAGGTGCTGGTCGCTTGGGAATGTCAGGTGTTGATCGCTTGGGAATGCCAGGTGTTGATCGCTTGGGAATGCCAGGTGCTGGTCGCTTGGGAATGTCAGGTGTTGGTCGCTTGGGAATGCCAGGTGTTGATCGCTTGGGAATGCCAGGTGCTGGTCGCTTGGGAATGCCAGGTGTTGATCGCTTGGGAATGCCAGGTGCTGGTCGCTTGGGAATGTCAGGTGCTGGTCGCTTGGGAATGCCAGGTGTTGATCGCTTGGGAATGTCAGGTGTTGATCGCTTGGGAATGTCAGGTGTTGATCGCTTGGGAATGCCAGGTGCTGGTCGCTTGGGAATGCCAGGTGTTGATCGCTTGGGAATGTCAGGTGCGCTGGTCGGTTGGGGAATGTCATGTGTTGATCGCTTGGGAATGCCAGGTGTTGATCGCTTGGGAATGCCAGGTGCTGGTCGCTTGGGAATGCCAGGTGTTGATCGCTTGGGAATGCCAGGTGCTGGTCGCTTGGGAATGTCAGGTGCTGGTCGCTTGCGAATGCCAGGTGTTGATCGCTTGGGAACGTCAGGTGTTGATCGCTTGATAATGTCAGGTGTAGATCGCTTGGGAATGCCAGGTGCTGGTCGCTTGGGAATGCCAGGTGCTGGTCGCTTGGGAATGCCAGGTGTTGATCGCTTGGGGAATGCCAGGTGCTGGTCGCTTGGGAATGCCAGGTGCTGATCGCTTGGGAATGCCAGGTGCTGGTCGCAGGTGCTGGTCGGTCTTGGGAATGTCAGGTGCTGGTCGCTTGGGAATGTCATGTGTTGATCGCTTGGGAATGCCAGGTGTTGATCGCTTGGGAATGCCAAGTGCTGGTCGCTTGGGAATGCCAGGTGTTGATCGCTTGGGAATGCCAGGTGCTGGTCGCTTGGGAATGTCAGGTGCTGGTCGCTTGGGAATGCCAGGTGTTGATCGCTTGGGAATGTCAGGTGTTGATCGCTTGGTAATGTCAGGTGTAGATCGCTTGGGAATGCCAGGTGCTGGTCGCTTGGGAATGCCAGGTGCTGGTCGCTTGGGAATGTCAGGTGTTGATCGCTTGGGAATGCCAGGTGCTGGTCGCTTGGGAATGCCAGGTGTTGATCGCTTGGGAATGCCAGGTGCTGGTCGCTTGGGAATGTCAGGTGCTGGTCGCTTGGGAATGTCATGTGTTGATCGCTTGGGAATGCCAGGTGTTGATCGCTTGGGAATGCCAGGTGCTGGTCGCTTGGGAATGCCAGGTGTTGATCGCTTGGGAATGCCAGGTGCTGGTCGCTGGGAATGCCAGGTGTTGATCGCTTGGGAATGCCAGGTGTTGATCGCTTGGGAATGTCAGGTGTTGATCGCTTGGTAATGTCAGGTGCTGGTCGTAGATCCAGGTGCTGGTCGCTTGGGAATGCCAGGTGCTGGTCGCTTGGGAATGCCAGGTGCTGGTCGCTTGGGGAATGCCAGGAATGTCAGGTGTTGATCGCTTGGGAATGCCAGGTGTTGATCGCTTGGGAATGCCAGTTGTTGATCGCTTGGGAATGCCAGGTGCTGGTTGCTTGGGAATGCCAGGTGTTGATCGCTTGGGAATGCCAGGTGCTGGTGGCTTGGGAATCGTCAGGTGCTGGTCGCTTGGGAATGCCAGGTGTTGATCGCTTGGGAATGTCAGGTGTTGATCGCTTGGTAATGTCAGGTGTAGATCGCTTGGGAATGCCAGGTGCTGGTCGCTTGGGAATGCCAGGTGCTGGTCGCTTGGGAATGCCAGGTGCTGGTCGCTTGGGAATGTCAGGTGTTGATCGCTTGGGAATTCCAGGTGCTGGTCGCTTGGGAATGTCAGGTGCTGGTCGCTTGGGAATGTCATGTGTTGATCGCTTGGGAATTGCCAGGTGTTGATCGCTTGGGAATGCCAGGTGCTGGTCGCTTGGGGAATGCCAGGTGTTGATCGCTTGGGAATGCCAGGTGCTGGTCGCTTGGGAATGTCAGGTGCTGGTCGCTTGGGAATGCCAGGTGTTGATCGCTTGGGAATGTCAGGTGTTGATCGCTTGGTAATGTCAGGTGTAGATCGCTTGAGAATGCCAGGTGCTGGTCGCTTGGGAATGCCAGGTGCTGGTCGCTTGGGAATGCCAGGTGTTGATCGCTTGGGAATGCCAGGTGCTGGTCGCTTTGGAATGCCAGGTGTTGATCGCTTGGGAATGTCAGGTGTTGATCGCTTGGGAATGCCAGGTGCTGGTCGCTTGGGAATGCGTGTTGATCAGGTGCTGGTTTCGCTTGGGAATGTCAGGTGTTGATCGCTTGGGAATGCCAGGTGCTGGTCGCTTTGGAATGCCAGGTGCTGGTCGCTTGGGAATGTCAGGTATTGATCGCTTGGGAATGCCAGGTGCTGCTCGCTTGGGAATACGAGATGCTTATTGCTTGGGAATACGAGATGCTTATTGCTTGGATGTGCGGCTGGTGTAATGAATAATGGCTCGGAAATTTTAATCGGAGAGCTGAGTTCCAATTCCACTTGTCTTTTTTTCTATTGGTTTAATTAGTTAGACATGTATCACTAATTTCCTCTTTTTTTTTAAATTCTTAAAAATATTTTCTAGTTTTAAATAGCCGTAAAAAAACAAAAAAAAAAACAACAAAAAAAAAAACGAATCAATCAATATCCAAACGAGACCGCGGAAGAGAAAAGGAGAGATTGCAAACTGGCAATAATAAAGTAAAATGTAACACATGTGATAATTTATGCAAGGAGACACATTGAGAAAGATATCAATAATGAAATATTTAAAATAGAATGGGGAAAAGTTAATAACTGCATTAAAGTCTGAGCTTGCATAAATCTATGAACACCTATTATATTTGATTGGAAGCAAAGTTTGTCTCTTTTTGCAATCGATAGCGCTTGAGCATAAAATTTTCTTTCACGCGTGACTGAAATTTCTGATACATACATATATCCTAAATGGTGACATTTCAACACTTCCTTTTGTGTGATTAATGTTTTGATTGCGAATTTAAATGTGTCTACGATAAAGCTGAAAATGGCCGAAGCTTATCTGGATTTCCATCATTTGATGTCTGTTCATTACCGGAAGTCAAAGATTTCAGTACAGGAAGCAAAAGAAAGCAATGTGTCATTTATGGAGTTAGTCCCATAGCCAAAAAAATTGTTCGCTAGAAGTGGAAATTTTGATCTCGAAGATAGAAAATGTTCCAGCAGACTTGCATTCATTGATAATGAACAAATCAAAACACACTATTCACATCTTTCGGGTTATTGTCCTCATCTTTGTTGCCATATTTATCACAACGTTTCGGTCGTTGTACGCTCCGGCTTTCTTCGGGTGTTTAGAATGTCGAACTGAACCCTTTATTTCGCTCGCTGGGGTAGACTGTTCTAGTTCCACGTGCCATATCTAATGGATGTCAGTTATCAGTTATCTTCTGTTAATTCCCCTCTACAAGTTCTCCACTGCCTTAACCAGGTATTGAACTCACACTCTTTAGGTCCTTTCACTGGATGTAACTAACGGCTTTATCCACTGTGCCATGTGGCGTTGAGTGGAGAACCTGAAGAGGGGAATTACCAGGAGATAACTGATATGTGACATCCGTTAAACATGACACGTGGAACTAGATTAGTCTACCCCAGCGAGCGAAATAAAAGAGTCATTTCGATATTCCAACCACCTGAAGAAAGCCGGAGCGTACAACAGCCGAAACGTTGTAATAAATATGGCGACAAAGATGAGGACAATAGTCCGAATAATGTAAATAGTGTACATAATACCTCATCTCAGAAATGTAGACAAATCAAAACACTGATAAAAAAAAACAGGTCATACAACACGGGTCATCGCATATATACTCCACATATCTCATGTGAGCGTTGTAAAACATTTGAAAATATTTGAATATGTGAATCGCTATCAGATTTGGATGCCTCACGATTTAACGAAAAAAAGTGATGGACTGCATTTCCTACTGCTCAGCTCAGATTGAGAATACAGACTGCCGGTGTTCGTATTAAAGTCAGTTCATTACATTCTCATACGCGCTAATACCCTTTGAAAATGTACGAATCCATCGTCACCCCCAGCTATGGTTAAATAGTAGAAGAAATTGACTCGTATAGCTTTTGTTGGCAACCAGTCTAGAAGAAGAAAAAAAAGGTCGGGTTCGGTTAGACTTGCTTGCTCAAAAAAAAAAAAAAAAGGTAGCCGTTCGATCCAAAGCTGTGACAGGATTCGTGACTGATTCTCGGCTCAAACATAGCAAAAAATATACATTTTGGGGATAACGACCACAGGCGATGAAAATGAATTGTTTACAACAATGTGAATGGAAAAGTTTCATGTAGAAAACAAAATGAGCCATCGTTAACCACACTAGAAGCGGATTTGCGTCCGAAGAATTTGATGCTATCTATATAGTTGGGATGGAAGAACGTTGTATATTACGAACTCCTTCTACTTAAGCTGAAAATACTGTTACCAGTTGGTAATTTAAAGACAGCAATCGATAACATGCTTCTTCTGGAAGTGATCAATCGGAAGAGTGTAGTCTTCCATCAAGACAATGTTAGACTTCACATTTGCAGACTTGTCAGAAATTGGTACAACTTAGTGGAAATGCCCTACTATACGCACCGGACTTACATGAACTTGGACCTGCGAATGATCACTTACTTCGATTCCTCCCGCACAAAAATATTCTTAATACGAATAATTTCTCTGGAAGCCTTATAAAAACCATCCTGGTTATGACGATAAAATACGTCCGCGTCCTGGGTAAGACGATAAACTACATTCAACAGTAAGGCCTCTGATCAGGAAGTTTCGAGAAACGTGGAACCACCTCTTAATTGCTGCTGTTCCCAGGTCCACTCTGGCCCGGAGTGGTTGTACCTGTTAGGGTCCCAGCTATGGGTTAATAGTTAGCCCCCAAACTGGGGTCAAAACACTATGAAAGTGTAAAAATAGGTTTTAATACCAGCAATACATTTTTGTAAAAAATTGTTATACATTTTTGAAAATAAAATATTAACAGTAATACATTTTTGAAAGCAAAATATTCCATGCAATACATTTTTAAAGAAAAAATATTACCAGCAATACATTTTTGAAAACAAAATATTACCAGCAATACATTTTTTAAGAAAAAGATATTAACAGCAATATATTTACCAGTAATATATTTTTTTAAAATATTACCAGCAATAAAAAATATTCTCTGTATTAAATAAACCATTGAGGTTAATATACCGTACAACACATCAAACCAAACCAAACCAAACCAAACCTTATATTAATCTCTTAGATCAGTTCCTCGACCAGAAAGACGCTAAGTTCTGGGAGGATGGAATCCTGAAGATGCCTCAAAGCGAGTGAAAGAAAATATCTAAATATTTTCTTTGGAATTTATACGTTACGAACTTTTGATTCGAACCAATGTTTCTCACAGGAAATAAAAGCAGCATCTTATATCTTTGGATTCATTTTAGATTCTTTAACTTCTACCGTTTTCGCTTCTTTAAATTCTACTTCCTCTACCCGGTCTCTCTTCACGCTGTCATTTAGTCACATGTTTTATCCATCAGCCAACCGCTCACTCAGAAAAAAAATCGATCCGTTGAAAATACAGAATTGAACAGCAAATAGTCAATATTCTAGCTGAATACATCGTGTTTTCATTTTTTTTCTTTTGTAACAGACGCGCATATTTAATTAAAGCCTCCAACATTGTCGATAATAAAAATTCGAAGAGTTAACTAAGGAGAAAGGCATGAAATCACCCTTCCCTTCACATACGGGCAGATCATTTAATAATAAAAAAAAGACCACGATATAAGTAAGATACGAGTAAAATGGTATTCGCAGTGAAATGAAAATGAGCACTACATGAAAGCTACGCCTGCCGGACCAGGTCAAGAATTTTAATTACATTATTCGGACTATTGTCCTCATCCTCGTTGCATTTTTATTACAACGTTTCGGTCGTTGTACGCTTCGGCCTTCTTCAGGTGGTTGGAATGTCGAACTGAACCCTTCATTTCACTCACTGGGGTAGACTTTTCTAGTTCCACATGCCATGTTTAATGGATGTCAGTTATCAGTTATAGCCTGTTAATTTCCATCTGAAAGTTCTCCACTGCCTTAACCGGGAATTGAACTCACACGCTTTGGCACAGTGGATAAAGGCGTTAATTAGATCCAATGTCAGGACCTAAAGAGTTTTAGTTCAATACCCGGCTAAGGCAGTGGAGAACTTTCAGAGGGAAATTAACAGGAGATAACTGATTACTGATACCCATTAGACTTGGCACATGGAACTAGAACAGTCTACCCCAGTGAGCTAATTGAAGTGTTAAGTTCGACATTCCAACCGCCTGGACAAGGCCGGAGCTTACAACGACCAAAACGTTGTAATAAATATAGCAACAAAGATGAGGGGAATAGTCCTAATAATGTAAATATTGTACATAATACCTCATCTTAGAAATATAGACAGATACTGAAAAGCCGAAACGTTGTGATAAATATGGCAACAAAGTTGAGGAGAATAGTCTTAATATATGTAAATAGTGTACATCATACTTTATCTCAGAAATATAGACAGATACTGAAAGTCAAGGATTCTTTTTTTTTTTTTTACTGATAACATCTATATCTTACCACGTGATACCTGGTGAGAAGATTTGTATTACCAAACAATTCCCGTCCCACCACGTCTGATCTTTGATATTTAATGGAAGACAAATACCAGCACAGTACTCCAGATTCGTCTTTGTTAAGGTCAAAATGGTTTATCTGATACTGTTGGTACTGTGTGGCCCAGTGCTATTCGACACATGATAAGTAATCATGTTTAGACGTTCCTCTATACAAAGTTTGAAGCGAGATCGTTTCTGACTGGATGTTTACGATTGTGCCAACTCAATGTCATCATAATATTTGAATTCTGGTTTTCATAGATGTTGTTATGGTGATTTTTTAAGCGTAGCTTAGATGTGAAACAAAGCTGAATGTATGTTTGGGATACTCGGTGAGGTTCGAACTCACTACTCAGTCATAACTGTTCTAACAAAACGAGTTATCCCTAGTGATTTTTTAAGCATAGCTTGGGTATGGTACAAGGTCGGAATTATGGAGCACCCAGTAAGAATCGAACTCAATAGTAATTGATGTAGCAAGACAAGCTTTCTAACAATAGAGTGGACGTTGTTATGAGGAGGTAATGTTGATTTTTGGGAAGTCTCTTCCGAGAAAACTTTTTTCTCTAAAATTCCCCGGTGAAAACGTTCACTGAGTCGCTTGTGGTTAAAATGTGTTATTTTATCTTTTATAATAAATTGGAAAAAAGCACACAAACACCCACAAAGTCAAAATTATTTTAGCATTTTTTCTAGTTATATGTTTTATTTAAATGATCTCCTAAAGACAATATAAAGAATTCGACAAGACACTTGCTTTCTCTTTGGAAATTCTTCAACTAAAATTAGACTAAAAACCAATACTTAGAAACACCCATTCGAAAAAAATGAGGAAAGTCTTTTTTGGTTTTTCTTTTCTGCAGCAAAAATAATTTCTATTTTTCCACTTGAAAGAAATAAAATACGAATTCGCAATAAAAACACATCTACTTTACTTGAAAAAAGCTTCACTGACTGACTTCATCGATGTATTGTGTTTATTCAGGAAGTAGGCAATCATAGCTCTCCACAATTTCCTGTTATTAACTAAATAAATGTAATTTTGTTGTTTCTCCTAAACCAAGTTCCGCTTTCTATTTACCCAACCTCGCTCGGTAGACTATTTACATTAATCGGACTATTGTCCTCATCTTTGTTGCCATATTTATTACAACGTTTCGGCCTTTCAGTATCTGTCTAAATTTCTGAGATGAGGTATTATGTACACTATTTATATTATTCGGACTATTGTCCTCATCTTTGTCGCCATGTTTATCACAACGTTTCGGCCGTTGTACGCTCCGGCCTTATTCAGGTGCTTGGAATAATACCTCATCTCAGAAATATAGACAGATACTCGCTCGGTAGGTTTATGCATTGTTTTCATCTTTCCCTCTTGCCATCAATATGTCCCGTGGGTATCAAATTTCCCGAGCATTCTTTCATAATTATGTGCTGTGACGTCGTCCCCCCTGGTCGCAGCGTCGACTGTGTCGTTCGATCCCGTTCGCGGCGCCAGCTGTTCGCTCCTCGCTGCTCCAAGTGTGACGTTCTAACCCTTTGGTTAGATGAATACCAGCCTCGTCGTTCCCAACCCGCTTCCAACGCCTGGTTACCAGGGTTTTCTTGATAATTCTAAATACGTATCCACCCTTCTTATTTCTGATTAGGGATTTTCCATTTTCGGTAACTTACTTTCACTCCTACTCCCTTACTGTGCCTCTGGGGGCGTATACCCGCTTCCCCACTCCTTCGTATGTCATGTGACCGCTCTCGGCCAATGGGGTCCTGGTCGGGCATCTTTCCTCCTCCCTCGCACGTCATGTGACCGCTCTCGGCCAATGGGGTCCTGGTCGGGTGTCTCTCCTCCTCCCTCATGTATCATGTGACCGCCTTCGGCCAATGAGGCTCTGGTCGGTATCTTTCCTCCTTCCTTCGTGACGTCTTTAATCGGGCGTGGACAATCCGTGGCTTTGTTCTGGGGGAAGAAACACCTTGCTTAAAGAAACAAAAATTTAAATTGCCCTTTTCGTACGTGACCGAAATGACGCTCTAGGTTTCTTTTACACGCGGTATTTGTCAAACAGTTTATCGCTAATTGGATACGATCTAAGAAAGGGATTTCCCAGACTGGGTGGCGTTTTCGTGAACTAATAAAAATATTTCACTTTTTCTTTCGCTCGAAGCTTGATAACAACAATCTTAATTATCTCAAAAAAAGCATTTTCTAACATCATCTTGTGTGGCTTTATTTTCAATTCTGGAATTGTCTGGGTTTTCGTATTAATGGTTTGCCTGTATATCCTTAGATAAACTTCCCACCTGTTACCTATCATATTTTTTCCCATTGTCTCTAAACTTTATTTCTTCAACCAAATTGATAACAAACTTCCATTTTTCGTGGACACGGAAGTAGGTCAGGTGCTTGACCGATATCTTCCAACATCTGTTATGTATCAATCGAGCGTGTGTTTGTTCGCTTATGACCTGGTTTTCGTATTATATTTTTCTTTTTCTTTCTTTTTTCTTCTTCTTTTCTTTCTTTCTCCCAGATCGCTTGAATGTAAAGAAAGAATTATTCCTAACCCCGAAATATTTTTCAGCCTTAAATAATTATCAAATGGTTGACAAACCGTAAAAAACAAATCATATATTTATGAATATTTCTTTTCAGCATTCTAACTATGCATGGTGCCACAGTGCCCTTTTTGTCTCCATTTTTTTTCTACAACTTTGTGGTTGCTCATATGTTCGGTCCATAGTAGACCCAACATCCTCCTGTAGAACTACATTTCTGTTGGATTTATGACGTGCATTAGTGTACGAGCTTTGAGAAAGTTTTAACACTGGGCTGCAATGAAACAAAGCATTTGGAACAATATATTAAGATTTAATAAAGTAGAGCTCTAGAGATGGCAACGGGACAATGGCAATGAAAGGATACTTTAATACATCTTATTATTATTAGTAGTATTATTATTCTCCACCTGTTCATCCTCCTCCTCCTCCTCCTCCTTCTTCTTCTTCTTCTTCTTCTTCTTCTTCTTCTTCTTCTTCTTTATGCCTTGTCCCGACAGGTGCTTGGAATGACGAACTGAACCCTTTACTTTGCTCGCTGGAGTAGACTGTTCTAGTTCCACGTGCCATGTCTAATGGATGTCAGTTATCAGTTATCTCCTGTTCAATTCCCCATTCCAAGCTCTCCACTCAAGGCCACATGGCACAGTGGATAAAGACGTTAGTTAGATCCAGTGACAGGACCCAAAGAGTGTGAGTTCAATACCTGGTTAAAGCAGTGGAGAACTTTCAGAGAGAAATTAACAGGAGATAACTGATAACTGACATCCATTAGACATGGCACGTGGAACTGGAAGAGTCTACCCCAGTGAGCGAAATAAAGGGTTCATTTTGACACTTCAACCATCTGAAGAAAGCCGGAGCGTACAACGGGCGAAACGTTGTAATAAATATGGCAACAAAGATGAAGACAATATCCCGAACGTTGTAAATTGTGTATTTTTGTTATCACTCCTAAACCTTGTTCCAACATCCATTTACTCAAACGCATTCTTCGTATTCTATGTGTCGTATCCCTTCAGGACGTTGGCGATCATGGTCCTCTACAATTTCCTGTCCTTTGTAACTCTTAATAAATTTTGTTATTTTGTTATCTCTCCTAAACCTTTTTCCGCCATCCATTTACTCAAGGTCATTCTTCTTCTATGTGCCGTGTTAGTGATAATGTCTCTCCACAATTTCATGTCTTTGTAACTCTTAATAAATTTGTCTGTTTATCATCTCTCCTAAACCTAGTTCCGTCATCCATTTACTCAAGCTCTCTAGGTAAGTTTTCTTTTATTTTCCTCTGTCCCTCTTGTCTTCAATATGTCCTGTGAGTTTCAAATTTTCCAAGCCCTCTTTCCTCATTTTGTGTCCAACATATTTCAACTGTTTCTTTCTCATGTTAAGTGTAAGTGCTCTTTTTGTCTTCATTTTCTCTAAAACTTCATAATTGTCTCCATCTTCGGCCAACGTTAGTCTCAACATCCTTCTGTAGGACGACATTTCTTTTGATTCAAGTTTCTTCATCTTTGAGGAGATTGTCCAACATTCACTGCCATAGAGGAGGACGGTTACTACGTAACAGTTCAGTAATCCTTTATCAGCTTCTAACTAAATTTTCCAGTTTCTTAATTCGTTACGAAGACAGAGGCCAATGAAATAATTATTCCGTTATCTTACTCCTCCTCCTCCTACTACTACTACTAATACTACCCTTCTTCTTCTTCTTGTTTCTCGACAGGATGTTGGCGATCATGGCTTTCCTCAAACTCGTGTTCTTCGTAGCTCTTAATACATTTTCTTAAACCTTTGCTCCGTCATCCAGATTTTTCAAGATACCATTCCTCATTATGTACCCTGGAAATGTCATTTGTCTCTTTCGGATGTTATACATCTTTTTTTTTCTATTTTCTCTAAAAATTGGCCATTGTTCGGTGCATGGTAGCCTCAGCATTCTTCTGTAGAAATGCATTTGTGTTACTTCAAGTCTCTACTTCATCTGTTCGGAGATTGTCCTGTATTCACTGTCATATAGGAGAGCTAATATAACAGTTCAGTACACTTTTTTTTTGTAACGATTTTTTGTTTGTTTCTTAATACTCTGCTTAAAGTTTTGAAGACATCTTTTACCATTCCAATTCTTCTTTGGATTTCAGTGTCCCAGTTTTCGTCGTTTATTAGAACACTTCCCAGATATTTAAATTGTTGAATTCGTTTGTTTTTAGTATCTCCGACCAACTAGTTGTTTTTAATATCGTCTGCTTCTTACAGTTCTTTTTCCCGCTCAAATAGTATCATAGCAGCCGATCACGTCACTATCATTTTTCTAAGCATCATTTTTTAGATTAATTTAACAAGTCTACAGTTTTTTTTTAAAATAACATCTCCAGTAAAAAATAAAAACAAAAAAAAAAACAAACAAACAATAGATCAATAATGCATTTTTCTATCAGATTCCTAACATTAAATGTCAAAGAGAGGGAAATATTCTTTTTTTTATTATTGTGTCTCACGCAAAGACAAATGATTTCTTTTCAGTACAAGTTCAATATTTACTACAAAATTTGTATTTGAGTTTTAAAATAATCTTTGAAACTAAAATTGTTTGTTCTCATTAAAATAATCAGAGAGCTGTCGATGTATCTCTGACAATGAGCCAATGGCGTGAGATAGAAACAGAAAAATGAAATCAATTGTCTCAAAAAAAAAAAAAAAAAACAGGACAAAACTGTGACTTTTATTCGTAGAGTGCTTAATTTGATTATTTTGTTCTGGAAAACCAACAATGTTTTATTTTCTACGCTAATTCGTAAAGTGATATCGGATAGCACTGAGGTCAGATAAATTATTCTATCTTCCTTATTCATGGCGTGCCAAAAGGCAAATGTCGGGGAATCTAGCCAATTTTTGTTTTCTAACACACGTTCGCATAGAGATCCCACAAATAAAAAAAAAGATCATTTTGAATTCCTTTCCTGTAAGAACGCTTCTTGACCGACACGGTCAAGTACAAATTCGTAATCGATAGTAAAAACAAAGGACGTTTTTAACAAAAGGTTTGGTTTGGTTTGTTTTACGACATATCAACCTCAATGGTTTAAATAAGGCCAACAAGATTTTTACAATAGATTCGTACGAATAGAATATCTTTTCTTTGTAAAAAATTGGTTATATCTTATATATTTTTAAAAATCAGTTTAATTTCTCTTAGAAACAGGAATATGTAAAGTTGATTAGTATTTTGAAAAAGTTTTTAGTTTTTTGTTTTTGTTTTGTAGTATTTTAAATAAAGAAAACCATTGAAAATTCGTAAACTTAAGGAATCAGTACATATGCTAGACCACAAAAATCGCCTGACTAAGACTAGAAATGAATAAAATATGGGAACCAGTAATAAGGAGTAATAATAATTTACCAGAAAAAAGCGATAATAACAAGAAAAATTGCAATATGGGCACTGGTAAAAAATCGTTGCTGAAGACATTATGTTTATGATATCTAGAAAAGCATGTGTTCGCAAGGACACATAGCACAGTGGATATAGGCGTTGGTTAGATCCAGTGACAGGAATCAGCGAGTGTGAGTTCAATACCCGGGTAAGGCAGTGGAGATACTTTAATACATATTATTATTCTCCTCCACCTTCTTTTTTTCTTGTCCCGACAGGTGGTTGGAATGTCAAACTGAACCCTTTATTTCTCTCACAATGGTACAGTGGATAAAGGCGTTGGTTAAATCCAGTGACAGGACCCAAAGAGTGTGAGTTCAATACCCGGTTAAGGCAGTGGAGAACTTTCAGAGGGAAATTAACAACAGATAACTGATAACTGACATCCATTAAACATGGCTCGTGGAACTAGAACAGTCTACCCCAGTGAGCGAAATAAAGGGTTCAGTTCGACATTCCAACGTAGTAATAAAAATGGCGACAAAAATGAGGACAATAGTCCGAATAATGTACATAATACCTCATGTCAGAAATATAGACAGATATTTTAAACAGATTGAATTAAAATTGCTGGATTTTGTCAGTATGTGTTTTATGCTTATTTGCATACTAGAGTATCTTGGTTTGATTTGTTTTGTTTTATGGGGCATATAAATCTTATTTAATGCCGATAAGATTTTTAATGCTAGTAATATTTTTCAATAATGTATTGCTGGTAATAATTACGACCTATTTTTACACTTTCATTGTGTTTTGTCCCCAGTTTGGGACTTAATTATTTTCCCATAGTTGGGACCCTAACAGGTGCTATCACCCCAGGTCAAGATGGACCTTGGAATAATAGCAATTAAGAGGTAGTTCCACGCTACTCAAAACCTCCTGATCACAGGCCTTGGTGTTGGACGTAATTTATCATCTTACCCAGGACACAGATGTAGGTTTATCGTCTTACTAACAAAATATAGTAAATAGCAATAAGAAAATGAAAGAACAAACGTTTTTAATTATATGAAAACAGCTAACTGTTTTTCCTCTCTCTCTCTCTCTCTCTCTCTTTCTCTCTCTCTCACGCTCTCTCAGCAAATGTCGATCGGGGAAGATAAACTCCAGGCTATCCTCATACTAATCAACTTTACATATTCCTGTTTCTAAGAGAAATTAAACTGATTTTTAAAAATATATAAGATATAACCAATTTTTTACAAAGAAAAGATATTCTATTCGTACTAATCTATTGTAAAAATCTTGTTGGCCTTATTTAAACCATTGAGGTTGATATGTCGTAAAACAAACCAAACATTTAAAATGTGAATATCTGAGTAACTACATGTCTCGGGCAAACAAAATTAAAACATTCTCTAACGCCTCAGTGATTATCTGCTTAAATTTCTCTAAGCTTTTAGGAAGAGGGGAATATAGTTCCGGCTGTACTAATCTATTCAGCCGTTGCCGGAAGTCCCGCCTGTCCAGACTCAACTTACAGTATCCGGCTATTCTAGGCTTAGCTCCGAGCACCTAACGCCATTCGGGCACAGACAAGTCTATGATCCGAATAGCCTAACCAGTGGAACGTGGAACAATTTAGCAAATCTATGTCATTACAAATTCAAAATGAGGATTTCCAAACTCAAAATGAGAAAACCCAAAATGTAACACAAGAATAGTGTTTATTGATATAAGCGTACAAGTTTAAGACTCGACATCGTTAAAATCTAATATTAATAGAAGTATTTAGATATTTCCTTTGATCCAATCGAAAATCCTTTTTCGTTGTCTCTGATGGAATTACTGAATTGAGGTTCTCACCCATATTTTCAGCCAATTTCATTTTTATGAAGGCCTTAAAAGAAACCAAAGCTTTTCTGTTTTATTAAGCATAGGACTGTACGGTGCCATTCGGAGAAAATGATTGTTTTCAAATTCTGGATCGAGTAAAATTCTCTCAATGTTGAAGTGGAATGGGGCTCTCTCAATGGCAATAACTGTTGGTTGCTAATAGATTTTATAGGGCCTTCCGCAAGTATTCCATTATCCAATTTCCAGCCGCTTCCTTATAGTAGGAACCTCGATGAAATTCATGATGCATTAACCCCTCTGCCCCCAATTAGATGAATATTTGCATCTTTAGAAGCCGCTGAAGATATTCTGCATCTTTCGCCTCTCAATGATCGAACTTGATTTCTCCTAATATGCAGGTTGAAATTTGTTTCGTCCATAAATAGGATGGGGGAATTGTCAGCTTGATAATCCAGCAAACTTTGGAAATATTCCTTTCTCTTTTCCTTTTCGTATTTCTGAATTTCTTCTGCAACTTGAGGACAGGTGATTCTTCGATTCTGCTCAATCTAATCAACCAAAACATTGTAGCAAAATCTTTGAAATTTTCGAATGCCTATAACCTCTTCTTGTATCTATTTTATAACCTATATTTATCCATCTATATGAAATGGATGTTTTAATTCCCAAACGTCTTGCTGAGGATTTCCAATCTTCATCATTTTCGGAGACTGCTAAAAATTTCCTTTGATTTTTATGAACCTCAGATTTTCTTATGAATGTCTTATGGGCCATTGTTGGTAGGTGATGAATTGGATGAGTATGGCTTTTCTTTTCACTTTGCAACGTATTACTTGAATATATAGTGTTCAACAACTTTGATTAAAATTAAAGTTTATATATATATATATATATATATATATATATATATATATAAAAAAAAAATAAATTAAAAAAAAAAAATACTTGAGACTAAGCAGCAGTGCGCCTCCGCTACTGAGATTCGAACCCGGACCGCTTGCCATATGCCGCAAGCTACATACCAACTGTACCAAGGAGCTTCAGTGACGCTGACGTAACTAATTAGACTCAATATAGCGCCATTCTTCACAAATTCCGTGGTGTAACTCATCAGAGATTCCCTAACCCAACGGACTGTGCCCCCACGACAAAGGCTCAGAAGGTTATGGCTTTATTTGAAGATGAAGGAATCGACCTAATGAAGTAGCCAGCCCAGAGCCCCGACCTGAATCCCATAGAAAATGTTTGGAAGATAATTGGAGAAAGGGCTCAGAAAAGAAACCCAAAAAACCAGGATCACCTATGGGAGTTATTGAAAGACGAATGGGAGGGTATTACT